TGGTCATGAAATAGTTTTTCAATGCCAATGACACTCAAATCTTTAAGCGAATGTCCCGGTTGACATAGGTATTTTTTAGATAGGTATTTTAAATGTCTTCCCGTTTCTCCTATGTATTGCAATATGCAAATACCGAATAACTGAGCATATTAGAAGTATAAAAACCCAAAAAAAAGATCTGGTTGTTGGCGCCCATTTCAGTCAACCGGGACATTCGCTTAATGATTTGAGTGTCATTGGCATTGAAAAACTATTTTATGACCACACTTATCGAAAGAACAAGGAATCCCATTACATTCATCTGTTCGGGACACACGAGCCACAAGGGATGAATATTAAGGAAGTTTAGACCAATTACAAAAAAAAAAATTCATTCATTGTTTTAATCAATTCTTGTACATAATATATGTTTTTCCCAGAATTGGATCATTCATGGCCAGATATGCTAATAACAGACAAAATATCACTATATTACATTTGACACACAGACAACTTTTCAGGTCTGCATTATACAAGACTGAGAAATAAAACACCATTGTGTAATTTGGACTTCAATTGCTAAGTATAAAACAAAGAGAGAGATCTCATCAATGACACTTATTTCGGCCACCCGCTGTTATTTAATCAAGAAATTCATAGATTTTATTGATTATTTAACATGCGTGACTCCTATAATTCTACTATGATTGTTTAAATATGCATGTAACTGCTTTTCGTGTTGTAGTTGAATTATGTATGTCTGAAGAAGTCTGACCTTGGTCAGACGAAACGTTACAGAAATATATTTGTGTTAGTGTGCATATCTTATCTAAAAGTTGGGCACATCATCGAAAAGTACAAACTTTTGGGTTGAAATACTGATATTTATTAATTTTGATGTAAAATTCCTGTTTGAGCCATGTTTAACAAGATATTATTATATGTTCCCGACATACAATTTTTCTGAAACTTGGTTCTAAATGACTTCACAGTATGTTCATATGGAATATCTTATCTGAAAGTTGGGCACATCATCGAGAAGTACAAACTTTTGGGTTGCAATACTGATATTTATTAATTCCGATGTAAAATTCATGGTTCAGCCATATTTGACAAGATATTATTATATGTTCCCTACATACAAATATTCTCAAACTTGGTTCGAAATGACTTCACAATATGTTTTTTTTAGATGTCTTATCTAAAAGTGGGGCACCTAATCGAAAAGTACAGAATTTTCTCAAACTTGGTTCGAAATGACTTCACAATATGTTTTTTTGAGATGTCATAACTAAAAGTGGGGCACCTAATCGAAAAGTACAGAATTTGGGGTTGAAATGCCGACATTTATTAATTTTAATGTGAAATTTTTTTTCGGCCATGTTTGACAATGTATAATCAAATGCTCCCAACATATAAGTTTCATAAAACTTGGATTAGGATGACTTCAACATAAGTTCTTTTTTTATATCAACTTCAAAAATCTGCCCAGCCATCGGAAATTACAGATAAGTTTTGTGTAATTCCGAGTGTAGAAAAATTTCGCCGTAAATCTGACAAAGACTTTGCGACTAGCTTTCCTTTTTTCCGTCGCGGCATTTAAGTGCCAGTAAATCGTTTCTGGCAACGCTATTTTACCGTTCCGAAAACGAGAGAGATGTCCGCTGAGAGATGCCTGCTAGGTTAACTTCGGTTAATTTCATTGTACATAAAAAAAACTTGGGAGAAATAGCATTTAAATAACTTGACTCAATTATGGATTAGTTCCTCAAAAAGAAATTTGAGAAAACAGTCGTAATATTGTGGGACAAAGCGGATTTGTGACCAAATGCAAGTCTTATTTCTTATTTTTGAATCCACAAAATACCTAACAAAATAACAATCAAAACATAGCATTTCATGCCATATTTTACAAAAGGGGCAAGCAATGCAAAACCGGATTAGTTCTTAACTTTTCTAGATAGAATTACTTAAATATTCAGCCGCTTATTTTATTCGATGCCCTTAGCGCGTTTCACTACGATGATAAAACTAATATACGAGAAGTAGGTTTTATTTTTATTTTTATAAGACAATCTATATGGCATGATATATTGGGTTGTTAAGTGTGGTTGTTGTTGAGCCTTCTCACAATCAAAAAACAGTGATCAATCCACGGGAAATACGTACCGTAGTATTTATCGGAATAGTGTATCTATTGATATTTGTTTCACTACGATGATAAAACTAATATATAAGAAGTTAGTATTATAATAAATTATTATTATAATGAAAACACTTCAAAGAACAGATTTTCTGTCTTTTAGACCAGGTTGTTGAATAAATGGACACAATCAACATTTCGCAACGACTATGTAAGCATCGTTAATTTCATACGCCTTCCACCTTTGGTTTACTCACGTATCTTGTTCGTTGTTTTAATAATGTACATTGAATTGATTGAGTAAATATTCGCTGCTTGATTTTATCTTCAAGGGTAAACAAAACATCGCCCAAGACATCTGATTCCACGAATTGTAATTGTAAAGTAACCCAATAAACATACAATAGTACTTCTCAACGAATATAAGACAACTTGAAACAATTTATCACCGGCAGATTTTTTTAATCTTGTTCAGGATACGTTATATCTGTAAGTTGGCAAAGATGGCGCTTATTTTGATAAAGATGTTTAAGATAAGCTTTACCCATCACCTGAGCTGATTGAAAAGCACAAGGCATAAGATACAAGTGTTGGCACAAAGTTGAAATTCTCAAATATTAAATAAAATAATTTTAAATGCATAGTTTAGGTATTGTTTAGCGTGACGTAAAATATATATTACCAAATCATATTTATTTTTGGACCGGTCGAAATCTCCAATAGTAATTGTCGAATTAACGAAAAAACTCAATTGTCAATTATGATATATAAATAAACGACATATTTTTGTAAAAAATTGGAACCTATTGCGAAGAGCGATTTCTTTCTGTTTTCGGTTATTTCGGCATCTTGGTAAGCTGTTTATAATTAGCGGAAGAAGTATTGTGTGCCAAAAACGCAATTACTTCTATTAATGCATCGTAGGGAAATTAAAAAATAATTATTTGATTATATGTTACTTGTTAGAGAGAAAAGAATAAATAAGATATGATAACATGGAACAAAAATAAAAAGTAACATAACTTATTTATTCTCATGACATTCTAATTAGGACTTTTAACATTTTTGTTGATTTACTGTTACAGAAAGACTATATATATATATATTCTGACAATAGTTTAGGTTTCCTAAACATCCGCGCCATCTCTGATAAAATGTTTATCAGAATAATAATCTTTATAGTTTCATTGGTGGCTATATCTCAGGTGAGTAATCTGATTTTAATTTAATTAACTTTATCAAAACTTGATAACAATCAAAATTATTACTTGCCGGGCAAATATAGTGAATTATTGTGTCACTTTGTTTTTCAAAACGCCATAGTTAGTCGTTGGCCTTATCAAACAATTTCCACAACTTGCAAATGTAAACGAATATTGTTGGGTTCCGAGATACTTCTATTTTTGAGTTTATTTTGGAATAACAAAACAATATTTTTAAAGAACCGCTACAATATTAGTAAACACTTTTAAACTTTCTTTTTTCAAGTCTAACTGTAATCTAGTTGATGTAGTCTGGTCATTGTTAATTTGTTAGTAGAATTGATCTTGTTTGTTTTTTGAAAATTCGACCCTTGGTTTACTCACATAACTTGTTCGTTGTTTTAAAGAACATGTTCATTTTTTAAATTCGACCCTTGGTTTACTCACGTATCTTGTTCGATGTTTTGATAATGTTCTTATTGGTAAAGATAACATTTGCTGCTTGATTCTACTGTATCTGCGAGGGTAAACACGATAATTATTGTCCAAGAGATTTTCGAGACTGACTTTTGAAGTTTTCAATATTTTGGGCGTCTTAACTATTTTTTTTTTAAATTAATATTATTTTTTAAATCAAAGTTTTAAAGACCCAAGATTTAAAAATCGTGTCATTTTGTCTTTACTTTCAAAAGGCACTGCGAATCCCCATAAATCTCAGAAGAGGATTGCAAGACCTTGACCAGAATGGACCTATTGCTCGTGTGAAAAAGACATGTAAGATTTATAGTTGTTTAATTTAATAAACAAAATAGGAAAATCATTTGTTGACCAAATAAAATTCATTATAGATCTTTTACATAAAATTATCAATATTCTCATCGATTAAATAAGTTTTTTTTAAATAGTTCCTTTTTTATTACAGTCCGCAATAATATCGATTCAGCAGTTTTTAATATCGATGAACAACCTGAAATTACATATGTGAACAAAGGTAAAAATATTTTGTGTTTATAAAATTAAAACAATAAACTGACTCCTGCAGCATATGTTTTATTATAATTTTATTGACAGAGGCACTGCCGCTAATACACGATTTTTAGTTATATGATCCCGAAATACAGTACAATTTGGGTGGAAGGAATCAATACTATCGACAAAATGTCTTATTTATTATTTGTCGACAAATGAGTGTGTTACCTGCTATGTTCATCATTTCAAAATGAAAACTATCGGCGATATTTTTATTCAAATATTCAGACAAACTTTATAAAAAAAAAACTATTCTATAAACAACATTTTTTAAATTTTATTCAGATCTAAGTTTGAAAGAAGGCGATATCATGCAGTCAAAACAACGTAATACACTATTGAGTTCAACAAACGAACAATATCTGTGGCCGAAAAAAATACCGGTTATGTACGATGACACCATCAGTTTATTGGTATGTTGTATGAAATATTCTAGCACAGGGGTCGGCAACATTTCGGATGATGAGTGCCAGTTTATAAATAATAAGCAACTTTGCGTGCCAAACATATTTATGTGTTTGATTTGCATAGTAAACCACCTGATTTGAATAGTGAGCGGATGGAAGACAAATAATTTTTTTTGGATAACGTCTAACACAGTCAAAAGACTCGCTTTCACTGAGGTTCTAACCAATAAAAAATGCGGAAAATCCGAAATTTGTCATCCAGAATTCTTTGAAAGATCTGATATCTAATTTAAGTATCGTGAGAGAGGCAATCAACTATGAAGAATTATTTCCTAGGCCTAATTTCTGTTTTGCAAAACGATTTAAAAAAAAATACCAAACAGCAATAGACAGGCAAACATTTTATTAAAATCTATTCAAAAGGTTTTGGCCATACAGGAATATAATGATAAATTATAGAGAGACTCTCAGGGGTCAAAGGTCGGAAAAAATCCATATAAAAATGAAGTCGTGTAAGGGAGGACGAAGGTAGAAATGCCGATGTCGAAATCTCCCGTAGGCTAATTTTTATACGCGTCGGACAACCGTAATTGTTGTAGGCTTCTACAGGAACTGATATTATGTTGAGTTAGGTATATTCTAGATGAAGGCTGAAAGTATGGCCAAAACTTTTTGAATAGATTTTGATAAAATGTTTGCCTGTCTATTGCTGTTTGATATTTTTTATTTCAAATATTTCTGCTAAAACTGAAATTAGGCTTATGAAAGCAGTCTTGATAGTTGATGACCTCTCTTAGGATACTTAAATTAAATATCAGATCTTTCAAGAAATCCTGGACAATAAATTTTGGATTTCATGGTTAGGATCTCATTAAAAGCGAGTATTTTGACTGTGTCAGACGTTATCCAATAAAATATATTTGTCTTTCATTCGCTCACTATTCAAATCAGGTGATTTACTATGCAAATCAATCTCATAAATATGTTTGACACGCAAAGTTGCTTATTATTCATAAACTGGCACTCAGCATCCGAAAGGTGCCTGAATGATAGTTGTCACGCACAAGATGATATATTTGCTTTTTACATGTTACTAACGTGTCCTTTATGAACCCTGATGGCAACCACATTCACGCAAATAAATAGTAACGAAAACATCGCTAGAATCACATAAAGAATATTTGTTTTGCAAATATTTGATTTACATCAGGAGTAAGTCCTTGTTTGTATAACCACCCAGGTCCTGAAAACAGAATAAGACTGCTGTTTACTTGGTCGTTAGGAATTCTTGATTTTATCAAAAAAAGTACGCACGCACAAGGCGAGGTATTTGCATTATACCTGTTATTCACTTGCCCCTAATGAAACCTTATGGCAACCACATTCACACAAATAACAAAAGGATCGAAAACATAGCTAGCATCACATACGGAATATTTGTTTTGCAAATATTTGTTTTACATCAGGAAGTAAGTCCTTGTTTGTATAACCACCCAGGTCCTGAAAACAGAATAGGACTTATGTTTATTTGGAAATTACGAAACCCTGATTCTATTAAAAAAAAATTAAAATAATCATAGACCTACACAATGAAAAGCTTGGAAATCTAAAACGTGACTCCTAAACTTCGATAATCCATGGTTTGATGTTCCACGTATAATAATAAAATGCTACGAAAGAGGGAAAAAATAATTGATTCACAGTAAAAGAATTACAGTAAACTAAATAACTTATATATTATAGTGCGAACACTCTTGTTTGTGACCCCCAAAACTCGGTATTTTTCCTGGGGGCACAGTTTGGAAAGCGTTGGTCTGTGCAGATACACATACCATAAAACTTTTGATTTCCACTAGCTAGACCAAATCAGGATGATGCAGTAGTTGTTGTAAAGTTCTTTTTTACTTATCATATAAATCGTTGGAATAATGTACCAATTATTTGAACTAGTATTTATAGCTTATTTTAAATATATTATATGTCTTCAATTTTTATTTATATGTCCTCGTAGTGAAGTAGCGGTCACGCACAAGGCGAGGTTCTCGCTTTTTACCTGTTATGACTGGGCCCTTATGAACGCAACCAGACCCATCCATTCAATTAACAAGAGATGAGAAAAAATAACTAGGTATTTCATAACAAATTTGGTTTATCAAATATTTGTTTTGCATCAGGAAGGAGTCCTTGTTTGTAAAACCACCCAGGTCCTAAAAGCAGAATAGGACTTCTGTTCACTTGGAAGGTAAAAAAATTTGATTTAAAAAAAAAAAGGAATAAACCATTGAAATACAGAGTAATAAGCTTAGAAAGCCATATTGTGATTCCTAACCTTTTATAATCCCTGGACATATTTTATGTTCTATGTATAATATTAAAACAATAAAATAGAGAAAGCAAAAAAATAATCACAGTACATTTATTGGACAAATTACAGTAAATTAACTCAATCGCATTATATTGCGAACACTTTATTTTGTTTCCTCCAAGAAGTTTGTCGTTTCCTTTTTTTTGTCTGGATCCAGTATAAAAAGGTTTGAGCTATGCAGATACGCGCAACATAAAACCTTTAATTTTCACTAACATGACTAAAACATCAATAATACAGCAGTTGTTGCAAAAATAATTTTTACGATTGTACAACTCGTTGGAATAATCTACCAATTACGTCAAATAGTCACACATTCATTTTATATCACCACTTTTTATTTAAATGTCCGCATAAGAAAGTAATTGTCACGCACAAGACGAGGGTTTTGTTTTTACTTGTTGTAACTTGCCCCTTACCCTGATGGCAACCACATCCACGCAAATAACAAGAGAAACAAAAACATAGCTAGCATTACATAACGAATATTCGTTTTGCAAGTATTTGTTTTGCATCAGGCTTAAGTCCCTATTTGTATAACCACCCAGGCCTGAAAACAAAATAGAACTTTTGCTTGGTTGGAAGTTACAAAACCTTGATTATATTAAAAAATAACCATTGAAGTACAAAGTAATTGGATATCTATACTGTGACTATTCAATTTCACATATATATTATAAAGAGTTAGAATAATGTAACAATTACATAAAATAATTATTTAGATTATCAAAAACTCCTACTGTTTATCTTTTACAGTATACATAAGTACATGGTAGGTATTACCAATGATATCGTTTTGTTTTCCAATTCACAGGCAAAAGCAGCGATTGACGAAGCGAGGCGGGAATATGAACTGCGAACATGTTTGTCATTTCCTGAAAGAACAGATGAAGAAAACTTCATACAGTTTACAACATTATCGGGGTAATAAGATACAAACTTGTTAGAAAAATATAAAACTGATTAGACGACCTAATCATAAGGCAAATCCACCTTTTGTCCGTGTACAAGTGTATGTCGGGTTAGAAAATGGGTAACCAAGTATTCGATCTTATTTTAAACTTGATTGCATTGATTTAATTTTCATGTTTTTGACAGTACATATAAGAATCGATTTTATAAGAAAAAAATATTATTTAAATTTGCCTCTATTCGCAATTAATGGACCAGTCTATCAATAACTTACAGTACTTCAATTTGAAAAGGTTCAAAATGAAAATAATTTTTCTAAATATTATGCGAATCCTACAGACACAATAGTTCACCTAGAATTTTTTAATTTTTAGTTTTATATTTTATTTCAGGGAAATCGTTATATGACAATGAATGTTATAAGGTTCCGCAGAAATGTTGAAATATATTTATGTCACGTTTATATTTGAGCGAAGCGACACTCTTGAATAACTTGGAATAGTTATATTTACTCTTTCTCATTATCCTAACAGTATACGCGAACGTATTCACTAGAAGAAAAGCATACTGGAAAATCTCAATCGTTTTTTTTTTATAACCATTTGACCCATCTACATCCTTCGCATCACCAGCTACACGCGGTTAAGATAATTTATTTAAAAAATTATTTTTCGTATGAGTTTACAGTACAACTGATTTTATTACAAAAAACCGAACCGATTTTTCCCGAAATTATATAATCCATATATCAATCAAACTAATAGTAAGTCTGGCAAGCAATGAAAGATAACAATAAAAAAAATGAATACAAGCAAACAAAAATAATACATGTTTAAAACCATAAACTATTGCTTTCTTCAGAATTTAAATTCAAGTTGTAATTTATCCATTATCTGTACCTTTTAAATGAGCTATTCCATTGATTTTTTCTCTTTAGATGCTGGTCTTACGTAGGAATGCAGGGGGGATCACAGAACATTTCCATTGGCCAAAGATGTGAAATGATGTCTACGGTTGTGCATGAGATGATGCATGCAATAGGAATATGGCACGAACAATCGAGAGCAGATAGAGACGATTATGTTGAAATTGTATGGGACCATGTTGAGGAAGGTATGGAGATATGCAGTTGTGAGATTCACAAGAATTATAACGAATTCTTTTTTGTATTTAATTCATCCACAAGGAGATCTTTCTAAAAACTGTTAAACCTCCGAACCCCAGTGACTTATATTGATATTATAAACCTGTAAGATAGCAATTAGGCATTTGATTATCAAACATCCATGACGTTTTGCTCCGTTCAAAAGATACTCTCCCCATGTGGCTCTCAGCTTTTCGATAAAAACAATTATTGTTGTTTTTAAACCGTTACTACAAGTTATTTTATCCGCCACATTTATTATAAAAAGCCTCGAACCGCCGCCAGAGGAATCGAGACCGGAGAATGATTCCGTAGGTCTCATGTCGGATAAGGTGGGGCCTAGCTTAAGAAGTTTGCACTAGACTTGCATAAGACAGAAATTGTTGCGTGATTCGTAGCAACCATTTGAAACGATATTTCTAATTTCTTACGTATAGGGTAATCCTAAAATAAAACCCATAATTTTCTTTATTATCTCCCCCCCAAAAAACGTCTGTGTATGATAATATCCACAAGTTATAGTAATTTAGGATACTTTGCACAAAATCTATTTTCAATGAAAAATATTAGATTGAGAATTATTAGTTTTTGATAAGCAAATAAATAAGTAAAATTGACTACCAACTTTTGTTCCAATCTAGGTTATGAACGCATTTTTGATAACTACCTGTTGGATGAAACAGATGACAGACGAGTGCCCTACGATTTCAACTCCGCCATGCATTACAGCAAAACCGCATTCTCGTAAGTAATAAGATAGCTAGTGAAAATTCCAACCACGGCACAAACAAAATCACAAAAAACGTGACTTGTACAATAAAATTCAATGTATAAGTAAAGCAAACAGGAAGAAAATTTTGGAAGCTTGTTAAAACTACAAATCAAGTTCAAAACATAAGAAACATAAAATTAGTACATGTTGTTTTTGCTGTTATTGTTGTTGTTGACAATAATTTTTATCCTTCACTAATGGCCAAGACCATTTTAAACGTTTATTATTCAAAAATGGAAATAAATCGCTATGATTTCGTTTTTATTCACTCCATATATCCTGATTAATATATATATTTCTATTTTATAATCTGTTTTACAACCGCGATAATACTATTTCTCCACGCATATCTGCTTCTATTGTATGCCAAGTCATTGCTCAGTTAGGGCCTACGGTTTCGAATGTTCCGAAGTACGTTTTGTACCGTACCTACCGTAACGGTATCAAGTAATTTCCGTCTTCGCTTCATGGCGAGTCAAATCGGAAACAGCCGTAATGTAATGAGGATCAAAAACTTTGTTTCCCTGAATAAAAATAATTCAGTGGAATTTTGAATGAAATATCAGACGTCAAAAGAGGATTCTTAAGTAATTTAGAAACAAACGAAAATAATAGCCTTCTATCAATAACAAAAATATTCAATCAATGAAAATTTCAACGCAATTCGTCAAGTAGTGAATCATAAGTTAACAACACGAAAAATAACATCAACAACATAATATCAAAACAATTCATAAGATTATTTTGTGTTCAATAATTTAAATCCTTGTCGATTTCGGGCTGATGATTCGGATGTGTCAGAAGATAAAATTTTGTAGTTTTCGTCAATATGTCCTGTTCAAAATCAGGCAAGTTCTAGTTTGTGAGATTAATATATCAGGATCATGCCCCAAATAAGTTCTTGTTTTACTCAAAACGGCACATTGTTTTTAATATTGATTTACAAGCAATTTTTTTTTCTTCTTACAAAATAGCTTGCTGTTTCGTTGAATGAAATGAAGCGTTTTTTATACCAACTTAGTAATATAATAAATCACTCACATCGAATTAACAGTTTCACTTGATTTGTAAATATGAGAAAATCCTTTTCAATTGTTGCCATGGTTTTCCCTCGGAAATGTATTTCTGTTAAATTTGCTAAATTCGCACGTAGAATTGATAAATATCCTCTTTTTTTATAGCATAAATCTGTATAATTCTATTCTAAGCGTGGGTACCCCCCACCTGTTAATATTTGTGAACTAAACACGCGTTGAGATATTTACAAATCTATTCACGTTTACAGAATTGATGGAAATCCGACAATTCGAACTCGAGACCCTGAATTAGAAGATGTCATAGGTCAACGTACCACGTTCAGTGAGGGTGACATAACAAAGATAAATAGAATGTATGGCTGCAGTAAGTAAAAGCGCTTTTCACCCAATTAATATATTTTGATTTTGAACACGATAAGAACTACATGATGTACATCAATATCAGTAAATACCGCTTCACACCATATATTACCTCATGTATTTATTCGCCCGTTATACTTCACCATAATATTACCGAAAGAGTATTCTTATTAGCTATAGAGACGGGTATTTGAGCGACACCGTGTATCATATATATTTATTTTTAGGCGACACCTTAAGAGTCAGTAATCATGTGAACTTCGATGAACAAAACATTGGCAGTTTTACGCAGTACGGTTTGCAAAGCGATGTTAAGTGGTTGAAACATGATCTGGCGACATCGGACACTTCGGGAACTTCGACTTGGTATTTGCCTACATTTGATGCAACACTCGGCATAGAAGAAAAAGGTGGATAAACTTTCTTTAACTATTGCATGGGTCAAATGCACATTGGGTTGCGAATATCTCGTCTGATTATACATATAAGGGTAAAATAAAAACTTAATTAAACATTTTAAACTGAGTCTTGCATATGCAAAAATAACACTGGCCTGTGCAGTTTACTGTGTTCATGATTATAATTTATGATAGATAAATTCAATATCTCACTTCTATGATTAGCGCGTACAAAATTCTGGGGCCCATTGCAGCACTGAACAAATACCAACGAAAAAGCTAAAATTACAATCTAATTTATGTGATTTTTTGTGACAGGAAGCTATTTATACTTCGACTCAAGCAACAAAATCTCAGGACAAGCCGGATTAATCAAATCCATGCGTTACACCAGCACCGTCGCAAATCAGTGTCTTGAATTTTGGTATTACATAAATGTGGGTCTTTCGAGTCAGGCTTCTATGACGTGAGTTCCAAATTTTGTTTCAGTTTATACAGATAAAGAATTAATATTTATGCTTTTAAATAGTTTTTTTTGGTTAGTCTGTTGTTCGAAATCTTATATCCAGGACGGTTTAAAAACAATATTACTTTTTCTTTCGTTTAAAACAGCGGTTATCGACCTATGTTTATCTTGGCCTCACTTGTGGACCTTATTTATGTGCGTAAGGTATGGCAAACAAAAAGCACGATTTATGTTATATTGAAAAAATTCATTTTTCAGTGTTTACATTGCTGCATTGGATCCGGTAACTGGAGATATCACTTCTTACGGATCACCGTTGCAGACGTTTCAAGGGCAATACGGTAATCGATGGAATGTCCATAGAATGACAATTTCTGCACAGAGTAGCTATAGGATCGTGTTTTACGCAAAAGCAGGTCAATTGTTAATATGAATTAAGTTGACATATCATTTAACGTTTTCTCTCTCTAAAAGTCTGTAGACAACCAGTTAAAAAGAAATCGTAACGTTCTGATTAGATATTGTCGATAGAAAAGCTTGATTGAGATGGTGGGCACGGATGAAGAGAATTATCGAAATCCGTAACTTGAAAGGTATAATTTAACGCAAAGACAGGATGCAATCTTTTAGAAGAGAAATGGCAATAGTCAACTAACTAGCCATCATTTTTTGAATTGATCAAATTACTTCCAGTTTCAATACAGCTGGAAAAGTCAATTGTCAGTTAAGAAATTAGCCTGATAAATAACTTTACAGAACGATTTCATGTAATTTTTTTTTCTTCACATTTTTCATTTCAAATCTAGCGTTGAATAAGCATACAATTCTATGCAAGGAGGTCCTGAATCTTTCCTCCAGTTTCAATACAGCTGGAAAAGTCGATTATCAATTAAGAAATTTGCCTGACAAATAACTTTACAGAACGATTTCATGTATTTTTTTTTACATTTCTCATTTCAAATCATGAGCTGAATAATCATACAATTCAACGCAGGGAGGTCATGAATCTTTCTGGTGCGACATTTCCTACTCAATTGTTTACATCTCGATAGAGCATGCGAAACGTATAAAATAACGCGTATCTATAAGAACACCACCTCGTTATGGGGGTGTCATATCAAGTAGTCTAAAACGATTCCCGTGCTAATATATCTTCTGACGCATCAGTATATTCTTGCACAGAGTCTAGAATTTAGATCAAAATGATTGTAAAAAAGCGCCCCATGAAATACCGTTTTCTAATTACAATCAATTTCACAGGAGAATATCCGAGTGACGTCATTGCTATTGATGACGTAAGTGTTCAAGACAGAGAATGTGACACCGCATACTTCACTGTACCTGACTATAAAGAGAAAGTAAAAACTTATGCATTCGGTGAAGCAATCCTAAGTGATGTCATGTATACTGGAACGCCAGGATACGCGTTTCGAGCTGTTGTAAGTTTTTAAATAAAAAATAGATGATTTTCAAATTAAAACAGAATGTTTAATTTTGGGTTATAATAATGTTAAATTTTTCGTAGAATGTAAAATAGTACGATAGCGTTGTTTCATTACGCCTACATTAAATGTTAGGTATACTTCACCACCATTACTTTATTCATAGTAGCAAAAGTAAAGTTGACCGAGTAAAAACATCTCTAATGAATTGCGACCGAAAGTTTTAAGGTCGAAAAATTAAAATCTTCAAATCATATAATTAAGACAAGAAGCCTTTTCCTATTTTCATATAATTTTTTCTTATTTTCTACAACAAATTTCGGCGCTTCCGTAGTATGTGAACCCAGGTGGCGGACACCGGGAGGAAGTATGTGTATCAGGTTGAGATTGGGACATACTTTATTTCAATTTCACTTATTTCATTTCTATTACGAGTTCGGGGAGTTGTCAAGTGAGTCCCATAGTATTTGTACCTGGAATTATGATCTAGCCCTAACCTGGTACACATGTAACGTTCGGTGGCCGACATCTTGGTTTACATACTACATGAGTACCCAAATTTCATAATATTTAATAATGTCAAATAAATAAATCGTTTTATTTAATCTTAATATGGTAAAAGTCAAAAATACGTCTTAATTACTTGGGGACTAATGTCGTGACGGTCAATATTTGGTATGATAATATTGAACATCAATAGTTCCAGGCATATCGAGATTGCGGGCAAAGTAAAATTATATATCCAAATATAAATAAATGGGGGAATTAGTTAGATATACATTGACCTTGAAGGTAGCCAAATATTTTAAACACAACTATCCCCATAAGACTGATTGATGCAAACCGACGTTGGACAACAAATATGTAAAGAGGGATCCACATGCTTTGCGAGATTGTGGAGACTGATATATGTCCGCAGTCCTGAGAGATCTTTAAAACGCCTCAAAAGTTGTTCATCCTCTCTAAAATGTGATATTACTTAGATACAATTGGGAAAGATTTTTTAGGAGTTGTTGCTTATGAGGGACACCTGGATTCCTTTCTATTGTGTTGGATCTAAAAAAAATTATTAAAAGACATAATCATTATATTGTTTTATTTTTGTAGATCTATCCAAATGGAGTCCGGAGCGACATTGACGCAGGATACCCGGATTACATCGGATTTTTTTTTCAACTTGTTGGAGGAAAATACGACGATGAATTAGAATGGCCTTTTGACAATCAATTCATTAGGCTTCAAATTACCGACCAAGATCCCAACCCACAAACACGAATGAATTGGTATTATAACTTCATAACAAGCAAAGATGTGCAATCTAGTGCATCCCCCTGGAAAAAACCAACTGGACTAGGCGTGAGTTTATCGTAACAAGATTATTTTATTTGAAACAAGTAAACATTTTAAAACATCAATATAACTCGATGATACAGAGTAACCAAAAACAGAACCCTCGAATTTCTTAAGTACGTTTACAAAATTGCATAAATTTTAAAAGTCTTGTGACGAAGCTATGCTATCATATTACCCATTACACTGCATGTATTGAGTATTACATTTACTGCAAAATCACTACAAATCATCGTTTTTTTTTCTACAATATATTACTTAAAATATTAGTCTATTTCTGTTGTTTCTTCTATTCCAGGTTCCCAACACAGCGTACGGTTACAGAACTTTTATGCCGAAGTGGCGAATGGATACTAGATCGTATTTGAGACATGATACTGCATATTATTCAATCCAGGTTACGGATAAATCTAGCAAACTAGAAAAGAGCCATTCATTATATATCATTATCTATTTATCTCTTGTATTTTACATGATTTGAAGTTGTTTATATATTTTGTTTGCATGTATTACGTATTATAATTTCTCATTGTATTCAGTGCAACTAGCCCATAAAATAGGCACAAGCGCCACAGTTTGGCTGTATTATATTGCTTTTGATTTGGTATACCATTTAAGTGGGAAATAATTTATTGGCCAAGATCAATAATAAGTGAGTGAAAAGTTTTGAAGCCAACAAACCAAAACCAATAAATCACCGAGACTGATCTTGCTATCATACATGGCATTTCGACGCCCTCACTCATAAACCTGCTCAAAAGTCTAGATGAGTGGTTGTTTTTGACCCTAGTTCCAGGTTATCTAGTACAACAGGTATGCTAGTACCGCCCAAGGGTTCAACATGTTTGGTTTAAAATCCGACTGTTTTAGCTTGCTATCTATATTGTTTAAATGCAATCAAAGACATATTACTAATGTCACAGTTATTAATTAAACTTTCCACGCTTTAAAAATTTATCTTTTTCGCCAGTATTAGCTCTTTTATATACAGGGTGTTCTAAAAGTAAGTATACACTATTAATTTTGATTTACTTTTCAGGTACTCACCATAGAGCATTCATTTCCTCAGAAAACATAGTATGGATAAGTTGTAAGATTTAGATGATTTAGATATTGTTTGCATTTTTCATCAACCCACATAATGACAACGAGATTAACCCAAGAACTGTGGTGCAAAATTGCTATTTGGCATGAAGCACATAAATCAGTAAAGCAAACTCAGTGCCTCTATTAACAGAGTTTGTAATTAATTCGGCTCCGAATATTTTTCTCAGAGCGTCCGCTTCTTGGTCTTCCTGATCTTTTTGCATTAAATACAGATCCAGTTTCCATAAATTTATGATGAATTGCATAAATTTTTCGCTGATTAGGAGCCGAATTAATTCCAATTCAAAATTAAAAGTATATACTCATTTTGAGACACCCTGTATCTACCGTATATATATTTCATGTAATCTAAGTATAACGCTGGGTTCTTCTAGCCCAGACCTAGGCAAGTTGCGCCGCACGGGCCGAATTTGGCCCGTGGTTATGCTTCATCTGAACCGCAGATTTTCTAGATTATCACACTTTCTTTCTATTTACATATAAACAAACTGTAATCTTGATTATTGTCGCATTAGGCCCGTGACCATGTTTCATACGGGCCGAAAGCAACTTTCTAGAATTACACACTTTCTTTTTATTTACATATACAACAACTTTCACTGTAGTCTTCATTATTGTAATAAAATCAGTATTTCAGAAGTGATGTGTTTTATATCTACCAGAGTACCAGCTGTGAACTGCAGTCAACTTTGTGAAAATGATCAGCGCTTGTTTTCGCATGTGATCACTTATCAACAGAGTAATCAAAACGAAAATATTGTAGGTGTAATTTTGACGAGGCATGCATGGATCGTGTGCTAACTGCGCTAGACTAGTCAGATCAGCGCAGCTCAGTATTTTAAATATTGTAAATAAGTCTGCCATTGAACCTGACATTCAAAGACTTATTAATTCACTGCAAAACACAAAATCATGTCAATAAAAGTAAGATTTGTATTATGCCTCGTTTCATCCAAATATGTAGTAAAACACAATAAAAACGTAATCTTGATTGATTTCACTCAGTTCTTTATGAAGTTTAAATTTTGAATTTACGGTATTGCAACATAGCAAAAATAATTGCTCTCATATGCTCCATCTGCTTGGGCATTTCATTCGAGTTACCTTTCACTAAAAATGTGGAAAATCACTTAATCAAGATGTAATTTAAAAGTCTTGTGACCTTAAGCATTAGCGATTAGTAGAATCTTGTGCAAAATAGCATTGATACATAGAACTGTGAAATTGACTATTGAAATGTATTTCAAATGCAAAAGTCATACTTCTGAAAAAATGTAAATCGAAACAATATAGAAATAAACTTATAAAGTTTTACATTACAAATATACCTCATGATTTTATGGATTCGAATAGGAGTAAACCCAAAATAGATAAGATGACATGGAAATAATATTAAACCGTAATGACTGGTGCATTGGCATAATTTTTTTTTATATAATTATTCTTCGATATTTTTTTACTTTTGTATTGCACTATTTGGATTAACTACTATCGGGGTGCTTGATACCCAGTATCAAATTTTGAGTTTTTGTTCACCTTCAGTTAAATTCATTTATTATTCTGTTTTTACAAAGTGTGTTTTAGTATAGCCCAAACATAAACTAATAATTACATATTGGTTAAGTTTATTTTCTTTTGACCAACAAGTCCAACATATAGATTATTGTCATAGATAAAATGCTACTTTTGTATGCAAGAAATGAAAATTCAAATAATTTACCGCCGTTCAAAAACAACATCAAAATCTGGAGTTTCGTAAGTTACCAAACTGTCGACCCCAACATGAAATGGTGGTAATAGGGTTGTGCGGATTTGGCAATACTTTCAGCTTTTGAAACATTACCGTTATAAAGATAAAGAGTTTCATCTTGGCCAGTTGTTCACCCAGGCAATGTCGAGGTCCAGTTGAGAATGGGATCATGTGATTTGATGAATTTTCGGTCACGGTCGAGAAATCTCTCAGGTCGAAATTCTTCCGGATTTTCGAAGTATCTGATATCGTTATGGACTGCGCAGATATTTGGAGCAATCTGATGTAAAAAAACATCACGATGGGAAAAAATGAACGCTGAGAACACGAGATAGTGCTCATTATTAAAGATTTATTTGGAATTGTATTTGACCTATGGCTTGGTTTGCTAAATTGTTGTTGTTATTCGTGTTTTAGTTTTTCTGTTAGCGTCAGTGTCTAGAATAAAAAATTGTTTTCTGCAACCATTGTCAGTTTCAAAATTTAATTACTTGAAGATGTAGGAACTTGCTAGTAGGCTATTTTTTTTTTTTTAAAATCCTATGCGAACGCTATTTCACCAAATATTTTTCAGATTATTGTTTTTAGGAGAGAAAGTATTTTTATCCCTAAGTACTCGCATTTGAGGTAGTAATTCAGTTCTGTTCAAAAATACCTATAATTAAATTCTCTGCTTTTGCTATGTGTAGAACAAAAAAAGAATCAATAGTTTTATACAAATGTTTCGATAATTAAGTAACACACTGGACCTGTTGGAAGTTTTATAAAGTGAACAAAGCTAAACATGCATTCGGTTTATCTGAAGAACATACAGCCTCATTCTTTGGAATAGTATATCCATTTAAGATTGCTTTATCGTTTGTTTTGAGAGGCCCGGTCAGTGGGGACAATGTACGATGTCTCATTAGTTCTTGTATAAATGCACAAGTATAAGGCATTTCATCCTTATGCTTAATACTAGGTACCCCTTCTTCACCTGTCCATGAATGAGGGAGGAAATGATATTTATATTTTAAAATATGTTTATTTCTGAAACAGTCTACTAGATCACGATGTTTTAATGTGCTTGATAAGGTGGCATATGAGTGAATTTTTGGAGCTAAAGTTCTGAATAAAGATTGCGTAATTGACTCTGGAATCGCTTCCAACATCAATTCTTGTTTGAATCGATTGCAAAACATTGGAATAAATTCTAAAGTTCAACAGTTGGATTGCAACCGTGGTATAAAGTTTCGGGAGTAGTCATTCACATATATGTATAAATTGTTCTGTGAAGTTGCTACGACGCCACTACGTCGAGTTGCTACGACTATCTAAACTAAAGGTTGCAGTTATCAAAGTACCTCTGTGTCCCAGAAACATCCAATACATTTGAAAGAGCATTTATCTCTATTGTCCTCGCTGGCTACAAATTGGAGAGTGGTTGGGAGCATAAAAGTAATATTGTAAATTTGAAAATAAGAATATCGAAATGCGGCCGATTCTTGTCAAAATCGGGATTGGGAAACAGAGTCGGTCAAAATGAAAATGAAGTGTCGAAATGAAGATAGGAAAATGCGAAAGATAGCGAAATGGCAATCAAGACTCACGGGAAGACATAAAAACGTATTTGATTTTGCAATATGTATTTCCAATGACGGTAATTTTCTCAATTTCCTAGGATATAGCTTAAGTGGGTATGTTACCTTGGCAAACTATGACGAGAAATCTAAATACGGAATCGATAATCGAAAGCGAAAATTTAAAAATCGAATACCATAATCATACTCAGAATCTCATAGTCGTCAATAAGAGGCATGTGAAAAAAAATGTTGCACGCTAGTAAAGGAATGATATTGCTTTGTCGTTGACTACTTTTCTTGGTGTAGTTTGAGCATAATATAAGAAACAATTTTGGGATTATAAAATTTTCAAACACACAAGTAATTCAATTCACGTTACTCATGGGTATAGATTAGAGTGAAGGTCTTTCATCAACGTGTAATTTCATTCTCAACAACATGTTTAAAAACATGTTTCAGAGTGCGTAGGTATGTATTTGAACGACAATATTTTTCATTTTTTGTTTTCATTTCATTGAGAGGTTTCATTTTTTGTTTTCATTTCATTGAGAGGTCTAGTCTTATACCAATAAACAAGATATCACACCTCATTGATAGCTTCGTAGTCGTTCAAAATAACCCAATTCTCCGGTCCAAATTGAACTGATATCACAGATCCATATTTTTTTTATTTGACGCAATGTTTCTGCGCTATTATTTCCAAGGAATGGAAAATATCGAACTAGACGCTGCCCATTAGGAGTTAGGACCCGGTGGAAAATTTTTTGGTCTTTTCAAAAATACCAACACAGTATAATTGCAATATTACTAATACCAGTCTTTTTCCAATTCAATAATTCACCTAGATACATGCTTTAGTTCTATTTATAAAATACTAGCGTTACACGAGGCAATACCAAAATATTAATTCGATACAACAAGCACACCATTGACAAATATTATCTTCTAAAATTGCTCAAATGTCCTTGAAATGATCCAAATCGTCAAATAGTACAGACTATTTAAGTTAGCTATCAACTTGTCTGTATAAGTATGTCCAAAATAAAAAAAAATGCTCTGAGGTGTATCAAACAACACAACAGGTGACCTTAATTATTAAAGCGTATTCAGACTGGACACGGATTAGCGAGTATTATAATTTACTCAACCTTTTACAAACAGGTATGTAGGTGAGTAAACACAGACACCTCTTATTGTAGACAAAAGGAGACCATTACTTAAAAACGCGTAAAAGTAAATAGAATATAATAATGAATGAATGATGAATCAATCGATGGAACGTCTTTTTAATTGGTCTTATAGTTGTTGTGTACGCAGGTTAGTTGTGATGATGAGTTGTTTCTCCGGGTCTTAAAATAGGATTTAATAAAGATTAAAATGACAGCATTATCCCATCCACGCTAAAATGCTGTTATTTCGAAATCGTCACTAGATTGATTTTATATGGCGTTTTAAGTAGCGTTTAGTAACATTGGAACAACGACACCTCTATACAGCTGAGGTGATTACATTAGGGCACATGGGCCGGGTTTGGCTCGTCGAAGTGACCGCAACAAATCGTGGGCTAAAATAAATACCATAAAACCAAAATATGATTCAATCAAAGACCAATATAATGCACACAACGAGACACATATACCTGAAGCTCGTCTATCCGAAGTGTTGAGATCAACAAATGCAAAAACAGATCCCCTTACCCGGATTCAAACCTACAAGCAAGCTGATTTAGACTTAGCACAAGATGCTTTATTTAAACAAGCGTTTGTACGCATGCAGTACGCTTCACCGGTCCTATCAATCTTTATGCCACTTGGTACACTACCTGTTTGTGGTACAGTAACAGTTTGGCTACTTGTTTGTAAAGAAATAGTTTTTTATTTATAGTTTCATATTAATTTTTGAGCCTCCTGCCCAGCAACCAAGTGACCATACATGATTGAATAATTTGTAAACAGTATAACAGCATGTAAATATAACAGGACAGAAGTTATCTGATATTTTTTGCAAAAAAAAGCAAAGCATCTTTTGTAATAAGCACCAAATTCAAGTTTTTGTATGTTTGAACGCAAATACCATATGAAAAGGGAGGATCTTGTCTGGATTAACATAACCCTTATTCTTTGTATCATGCAAGTTGAAAAAAAAGTCTATCTTTGCGAGTTGTTCTCTCACACAAAGCCTAATTTCGCAAACTACACACCGCAATTGCACATTATTTCAATCAAATCGTTTTAAGTTCATGTTAACCTTTATTTTAAATTCATTTCGAATTCTGTTTTTACAAAGTGTGTTTTAGCCTAGTACAAAAATTAACTAATAATTACTCATTGATCAAGCTTTATGTCTTTCTAATCACCCTAAAGATTGTTATTGTCGCTAATAGGCTATTTCAATATTTTTCTATAGTTATAAAACGTCAAGAAATGGAAATTCAAATCATTTACGCCGTTCGAAAACTACATCAAAATCAGGGGCTTCGTAAGTTATTAAACTGTCGATCCCGGAATGAAATGATGGTAATGGTTTGTGTGGATTCGGCAATACTTTCAGCTTCTGAAGAATCCCGGTTATAAAGATGAAGAGTTCCATTCTGGCCAGTTGTTCACCCAGGCAATGTCGAGATCCAATAGAAAATGGGATCACGTGATTTGATTTGATGAATTTTCGGTCACGGTCAAGAAATCTTTCAGGTCGAAATTCTCTCGGATTTTCGAAGTATCTGGAATCATGATGGACTGCCCAGATATTTGGTGCAATCTAATGTAAAAAACAAGAGAGATATGCTCAAATATATGGACACGTTTACCGATTCCAAGAAAAGCACCAACATTTAAAGGCATCAGTTATAACAGTGACAGCAAGTCCAGCTTTTACGAGACAGTTACGAGCAACGAGTTAGTTCAGTGTCACCGCGCTGTGTTACGATACCGTAACTACCCTATCTTTAGAAGTTCCTGTCTTGTGAGAGCGTGAATTGAAATTACGAGATGGTCCGACTCACAACTGTAGTAACACCAACGCATTAACACAAATATTAGCAAAGCCAGGATTTCGTTACGAACCACCAACGTTCGATGGCACGTGATCAAAAGAACATGAAGAGGAGTGCCAGCATACACGTCACAAGGTGTCGCTAATTTTTATTCTGACACATAAAAAACGAATCTCTTGAAGTCCACAGAAATTTTTGAAATAAGTTAAAGTATTAGCCTTCTGGCGGAAAAATCAATCTTTACCCACTGAAAATTTCAAAGCAATTGGTCCAGTATTCGAAGAGAAAAGCGATTTTTTAATGAAAATGACGAAGAATAATAAGAATAACAACAACATAATATTGATCGTTATGTCCACTACGTGTTCAATAATACGATGAGAAAAAAATGAACGCCGGAAACATGAGATAATAATCATCAATATAGACTAATTTGGAATGGAATTGGACCTATGGATTATATTGCGAAATTGTTGTTGTTATTCATGTTTCAGTTTTTCTGTTAGTGTTGTTAACATCTAAAAAACAATCGTTCTTTCTCAACCTATGTTAGATTTAATTCCAAAATTTTATTACTTGAGTACTCGATGGAGAGCTTTCAATTTTAACTATTTTTCTCAATTTCTAGTAGCTCCTCTTGTAATAATTTTTTACCAGAGATGTTTTAAATTTTTGTATTTTAAGAGAAAACATATTCGCATCCTTTTGTCATCGAATTTGTGATAATTATTGAGTTCAGTTCAAAATGACTTTAAATTCTCTGCTTGTGGTTTGTGCAGAACAGAGAAAACCATTTCAAGAAATATTATTTAAGAATTAGGTAACATACTAGAATCGTTAAAAGTTCTATACAATAAACGAAACTCAGGCATTTGATTTATTTTAAAAACATACCGTTGTATTCTTTGGAATAGTATACCCATTCAAAATTGCTTTTTCGTTTGTTTTGTGAAGCACGGTAAGTGGGGACAATGTACGATGTCTCATTAGTTCTTGTATAAATGCACAAGTATAAGGCATTTCATCTTTATGCTCCATGCTAGGTACCCCTTCTTCACCTGTTAATGTAAAATGAATTAATATTTACATTGTAATCATTTTCTTAGAAAATTCACTAGATTATGTTTAAATTTGATAGTATAAGGCTGCATATGAGTGAAGTTTTGGAGCTAAAGTCTTAAATATGGTAGCAGAATCGAGCCCTGAATCAATTTCAGAATAAATACCGGTGTATGGAATCAGATCTTCGGGTTAAATTTGGATTGCAAACGTGGTATAACGTTTCGGGACGAGCCATTCAGATATATGTAGAAATCGCAATGTTGAGTTACTACGACGCCGCAAACTCCGTTTAATATATAGTTTCTACACTCTAATCGCCCCACTCGTTTGCGATAGTCACGTTTACGTGCACCATTTGGGCCAATAATCAATGCGTCATAATTCTTATTTACTGTGTGTAAGAATTAGTGTTGTCATGACAGAAATCTTAGCATATCAGTGAACGAACCATGAAGGCTGGGAATGTGAAAGAAACTAAGGCAGCGGTAAAAGCCAACACAAAAAACGGAAAAAAGTGACTAAAAGCTCCTAGCGCCCATCGACAATCTGAACCTGAACTCATAACTCCTATTTACTGTGTGAAAGAATTAGTCTTGTCTCGTTACTTTTTTGAATGACTGAAATCTTGTCATATCAGAAACATCTGCTGCATCAGTAAAAGCATCTAACTCAATGAGGCTCGTCTTCTCAGAATTGCAAACGAGACTCGCAATTTTAATTTATCATTTTATTTATTATGATATTGCTCAGGGGAGTATGTCTTCTTGATAAACCGTGTCGAGAATTCGAAATCGGAAATCTAGAATCGGAATCGAAAACTTAGGAATTTAATACTATGGGTAATCATACTCATTATCCGTAGTAGTTGACAAGCAACGTGTGAAAAAAATTGTCTTATCATATTGAAGGAATGCAGCCGTCATAGATTACTTTTCTCATTATAGTTTGTACTAACGGCAGTGCATATTAAATATTATAAATTTGTTTTACCCAAAATATTCTCAATTTCTTTTGCTATTTCTTCTTGGCACTCAGAAAAGTGGGCAAAAGCCAATATAGCCCAATGCAGTGTAGCACTAGTAGTTCCCGAACCCGCTCCGATTAAATCAATAATGAATTGAATGAGGTTTGATTCCTGAATTCAAGGGGAAATAGATAATCATTATAGGTTGCTTTTGTAACTTTACAGCTGGACAGCATACGACCAACGTACATCACGTTTTGCTGAATCAAACTTAGCAAACATATTGCAAATGATTTCAATATGTAACAATCGTGTACGTTTTTCTTACTCACATTAAAGGAGGCATCGTCGTCATTTTTGGTTTTCATTTCATTGAGAAATGCATCAATTAGATCGCGGATGTCAAGTTCGTTAAAATTAGATTTATGTTGCTGTATGATCTCCCTCATATATTCTAAAATACATAACATGGTTATGCTAAATATGCCCAGATAAATAAAAATCAATATTTGGTGCTCCCGAAGTATGTGAACCAGGATGGCGGACAACGGAACGTAGTATGTGTACCAGGTTGGGGTTAGGCAATATTTGTATTGCAATGTTTTCTTTTTTTACAAATCCTGATAAACATACTACGTTCGGGGGTCCGTCATCTTTGTTCACATACTTCGGGAGTTTCCAATAATTTATAAACTGTTCTATATACGTATATGTTTAATAAATATGCCATGATGCATTAAAATTGATAATTTATAAAGGTACAATTTAATTTGAATATAATATTCTATATCTAAAGAATTTTGAAAATTTCTGTGTAAGTTTTGTTAAATCATTTAATGAAATTTTTTTTTGTAGCTTTCGAAGTATGTGCACCACGATGGCGCACAGCCTGATCTTATTATGTGCACCAGGTTAGGGTTCAAATTGTGCGCCATCTTGGTGATCATACTTCTGGAGCAATTTTATTTTTCATATAGCTTGATATGCATTCGAAAAAATCATTAAAAGCTTTGTTGAAGACCAAAACAATATTATGTTATTTTAAATGATGAAAACCAAAATTTCCTTTCAAAACATCACAATATTTTTTGTATTCTAAGTCATTTCGTTCATGTTTCATTCACATTTTTTTTCTGATACATTGCCTTGTTCGGATAGAAAGTTTTGATGAATGAGCGAGGTATAAAATGATATTAAAAGTCTCACGTTTAAAAGTGTGATTCTCTTCAATTGCATTTTCGACGATTCCCTTGAAAGGTGGAATATATCTTAAAATTGGAGCTAATAAGACCAACTTGAGCATCGTGGCATTGAAATTATTTGAAACACTGAAAAAGATGATTTAATGTGTTAACTCTTAGAGATAGTTTAAATATTAAGGTAAAATGTTTTGGAAACTTTTTAAGCTCTTTCATATTTATTTGTGGAGACACGGCGCTACCCCACTAGCTATGTTAATGTCAATATTTCTAGACTTTATATTATGTTACGATTTATAACTCAATGTTAGGTAATGACATATTATGTTGCAGGTAAAATGATAAAACCTTGAACATGAATAATACAGTATTACACTTCTTCAAAATATTTATTCTGAAATTCTTTCAGACTAAAGTTCGATCTGGATTTTACAGTCAGAAATGTAAGCACAAAATATTGTTAATAAATACTTTGTAGTTAGTCATAAAGCCTTGTTGATAGCATAACAAAAATTTTTGAAACTCAGGAGCTTCCGTAGTATGTGCACCAAGTTGGCGCTCACCCTGAACATAGCATGTGTACCAGGTTAGGGTTCCGGTATTGGGCCATCTTGGTACACAAACTGCGGGAACGCCGGAAGTTTTTATATCGTCTTTGTTGGGCTTGAAATTTTTTTAGTAACAAGGTCACAGTAAATGGCGTGTGTTGATGATTTGTGGTAAAGTTCAATTGTTAGTTGTCTAATATTATAACATGTCGATAGCATAGCACCTACAGGTTCTGTAACATCTGAAGCATGTGAAGAAATTTCTTGTCTTCATATTCAAATCTCGAACCGAATACTATTCTGCAGATTATGTTGGCCATAGTAACATGAAATTTCATCTAGATTCAAGAAGAAATAAAAAATACCTTGATGAGATAACTAGATAAAAGATGAATAAAAATGAAGATTAAATGATTCTTCAAAAATATTCTCGATATAGTTTCCTGTTTTTAGTGAAATAAAATTGATAACAAAAATTGAAAATATAAATTGTCCGATTTTAAATAAAATGATATTCTACTATTTGTAATATAAACCTTACTGAAAGGTCATATTATTCCTCATACGTTTTGCTAATAATTATTGTGAATAGATAATGTTGAAAAACATGATGGCAGCGACAATATTTTCCCCAAAGTGGCCAGTATTTAAGTTTTATTGAATGGGTTCCCGGTGCTGCTTGCAATACACTGTTTATAACTCAACAATTGCTGTCACCGCTGCGTATATATGTCAATAGTTTGTTAATAGCTTTTTTATAATAAAAGATTAGGAATTTTTAAACCAGGAAGTTTTTCAAGGCGTGACAGAATTACGGCAAAGAGATACGATGGCTACACCGCTGGGACTCTTTTGTCTGAGCCCATTTTGTATGTTTATTTTTAATTTTGTTTCAGTGTTCAACCATTAGAATCTTAATAGGTTCGCAATTGCCAAAAAAAATTTGGAACACTGCATCATATTACTAAAGTATCCAAAATGGTTTATTTCCGCCTCGTTTCTGCAAATCATTGTATGTTTAGATTACTCTATTATGCGAATAAAGATGAAAACAATGAGTAACTTACATATAAACTTTTCCCGTCATTTTCACGCATACTTTCAATCAGCAAAGGCATTTCCTCAATAATATTTGCCTCCATTCCTTTCCGACCCACTCCAAATCTGAAATAGGAAATTCTAAATGAAGTGAAATTGCGTTCATATGTATATTAAGCATTAAGGACCAACAGATGTTTCCACAAAGAAAGGGAAGTAGCACGGTATCTTGAACGTGAATGCATATCTCGCTGTAGTGTATCAGACAATTACACGCTGCCGATAAGTTTCATGAGCTTAAATACATTTTCATTATATTAACTGTAGCATGATTATCGCTAATTATTAAGTCGACTGGTGCTACTATAACGAGAAGTCTACCAAACTATAGCGTTATATACATGCCTCAAGCTTAATGCTAGTATTGTGTGATATCCACCGCCATATCTTTCATCCCTAATGAATATAGATGTTAACGGGTTAAGTCCAAGAATAAATCTTTGTTAGGAGTTAAATTTTCTTTTTTCATACGGGCAGAACCGGAAAAACCCAGTAGAACTCAATCACACCGCATCTTAGTAAGCGGTTTATAGCGGTAGATTTCTCACTATAATAAATTAGATACACATTGCATACCATTGTTACAGAACATCCAAGCCAAAACCCTCACTTGACCCTGATGATAGCATACCATAATATTAATTTTCAAGGCGCCATGTGCAACTACAATAAAAAAAGACAATAATATTTTTACAGTACCGTAAATAAAGTAAGTACTGTGCAAACCTCACCCTCTTAAAGTCTTGGATCCAAATTTGTGTAGGACTTTCCATTCAGGTCCATAATCTGCTGTAACAATTCCGCGCCCTTGCGTTAACATATCAAAAACGAAATTGCTTGTGCGTCCCGAAAACTTCTCGGACTGATTCACCAATGCCTAATAATAATTTATTCTTTAAATAATATGTATTTTATAGTGCATGTATTGCATGCTCACAATTCAATTTATACATAAATATCGTTCGTATAAATATATGTACTGGTTCCTTGGAATCTCTTTGCAATTTGAAAAATCTTCATAGTGCAACGAGTAATCCTATGACCCTAGCTTTGGAATATAATTAGTTCTTATTTTATAAGTTCGAATCGTTTCTTGTTAAAGTAAAAGATAGTAATAGATTATATTTTGAATGTTCTTATTTTGAATCGCTTACGATATGTAGAATGCTTATATGAAACACACTGTCTATATACATATATATGTACATATAAATTGTTAACATGGAAAAAATCATCATTTTCATACTCTTTACTCAGTGAGTGATTACAAATATTTTTGTCTGAGTGCGCGAGGTGCTGCTCTAAAAAAATTAACAATATCTCTATTATTTTACCTCATTGACAGCTTCGTAGTCGTTCAGAATTACCCAATCCTCACGTCCAAATTGAACAGACATTACTGACCCATATTTCTTCTTCATTTGACGCAATGTTTCTGCGGTATTTTTTCCCAAGAAAGGGAAATATCCAACTAGAGGCAGTCCATGAGGACCAGGTGGAAAATTTTTTGGTCTTCTCAAGAAATACCAACATATTATACCTGCAATAATACTAATACCAGTCGATGTACAATTCAATAATCCATCTAGCCACATGATGTAGTTCTATTTACGAAATTCTAACACTAGCTATAACTGAGGCAATACTAAAATAAAAATTTCATACAATAGCCATGACTTGTCTATTCACAAATATTATCTTCTATAATAGCTCACATGCAACTGGAAATAAACTTATAATCACAAAAAGCAGACATACGATATTTAAAATCTTCAATTCAGAGTAACCCAAATCGTCAAATTGCACAGACTATTCGAGTTCGATATCAATTCGCCTGTATGCCCCTAGCACGTCCGAGATAAATAAAATGTCCTGAGGCGTATCAAACAAACACAAAGGGCGAACTTTATGCAATATTTTCAGACTGGACACGGATTATCGATTATTGTGATTTACTCAACCGTTCACAAACCGGAATGTAGGTTAGTAAACACAAACACCTCTTAGTATAGTCAAAGGGAGGCCATTACTTTAAAATGCTTACAAGAAACTAGAATATAATGTCATGGAAATGATATTCATTATGTCATGATATCGTGTAATAATATTATATTGAGACCCTTTCAATATGGTCGTTTTTTAGCCTTAAAACAAACAACGAAACGCCTTTAAATGCCCTCATAGTTGTTATGCATTCAGGTTACGCAGCGATGAGTTGTGTTGCCGAGTCCTAAAATGGGATTTAATAAACCGTAAAATGGCAACATTATCCCATGAACGATAAAATGTTGTTATTCCAAACGCGGACTTGATTGAATTTATATAGCGTTTAGTAGCATTAACATTTATACAACGTGGTTTCGTTGCAACGAAGTCTGAACGGTCATAGGAAATTGACCTAGTTTTTGCTCATTTTATCTACGAGCCAATACGTTCAATTACCTACAAAAAGAACTCGGGATGCCAAAATAAATCGTGTTTTAATTTTTTGTGTTTCTTACCAATGCATTGAAAGGATTTAAAATTAAATGAACCCAATGTAGCAAAATTTGGATTAGAATTAGCTTCTTAATCTACGAACCATGTAGCAATACGAGTTTAAATTGTTGAGAAACAAATATAACTATGCAATTGTAATTTATCCGCTTTATATTAGACAATAATACTCAAAATGGCACAACTTGGTGTTAAGATATACAATCTTAATAAACACGGAATAGTTTAAAGTCATCATAAAATAATCGTCAAAAGCTTCATCATTTTGTGCAATATGTCAGCAAAAAATATTACATCATTACCACTTTAAAATGTGCAACGTCATGCATATCGTGATATCATTTTAAACTCTGCTCATACGGGTTATCGTTATGTACTCTGGACGGGTTATCGTTATGTACTCTGGACCAGTGCGATTAATGGTATCGCATGTTTGTTTAAGGTAGCCATCGGCTCTGCAGCAACTCAAGCATATCTCTAGCATATTGAATCTTAGTTGATGTATTTAATATTCGAGGGTATATTTTGAGATGAATTCATAGATATAATAATGGGGAATTAATTTTTACGGAGTTATATTTCAATTTTTTATCTAGCACTGAGTTTGGGCCGATGGTATTAGAAAATAATGTGAATTTAATTGCAGCAAATCTTTTTCATACCAAACTTAATACTTACATATAGAGCACCTGGCGTTTTAGAGCAGGGGTGTGCAGAATTTTTTGTCGGTGGTTCATATAACCAACCTTCAGACATCTAGCTGGGCCACACACAAAAAAAAAAAATTCTTGTACACAACGACTTATAGCAAACAACCACAATGTGGGATCATTACGTTACAATTTAATGTTGTACACTAGGGTTATGAAAGCCTGCAGCCACGAAATACATAGGTGACAACCAGAGCACCGCGGGGAAGGCAACAGAAGGAATGTGGCTATTGCTTAACCTTAAAGTAATGAATACATCGTGCAAAACGGAAAAACCCTTAACGCACCGCAGTAAAATAACATTATGTTAATTTACCCATGTGGGCGCTTTTTTGAACAAAAACTGTCGGATTAAGAGTACATGCTTGATGAGGAAAAATCTTAATGTTGAATTGGGTCACACAAAATCGCTTGACGGGCCGGGTTGTGGACCGTGGGCCTCCTGTTGCAAAACCTAGATTTATAGGTTCTATGGTATATTTTGAGGTGAAGTCGTAGCTATATAAATGGATGTAATTTTGTGACTAGTACGTTTTTATTGTACCTGGTTGTAATATAATAATATTTAAATTTTTCATACCGGTAATCAATTTTGGTACGGACTTATAAATATGTTTTATGACCCAGATGAGATCGTTTAAATCAGGATCTAGTATATATTTATAAATTATTTATTAATTAAACAAAGGCTTTTGCGTACAATATTGAAACAATTCCCATGCTGAAGCATTTTATCTAAATCTGATGAGCATCCGTGTGTGAGTTACGATAGATGTATATGCTTAGGAAATTTTTTGCAAGTAGGTTTCTATGTTGCTTTGAGCTTAGGATTTTCAGCAAGACACCAATCCGGGAGTTTTTTAAACGTAGGAAAATGCAATGTATCGATCGAAGTGAAAACAGTATAGCTAGCTCCTCACGTAGCAGGTATATCGTTTATAAAGTTATTGGCGTTGTATAAAAATGTAGTTTGTTAATTGTGAGTGATGTATTATGTAATTTTACTTAATTTGTATTTTGTAGATTACATATAAGCGAAACAATTTCTATGCAAGACTCTTTGATTGCAATAAACAAACATGTCGTGGACAGATTGCTGTGACTGTACCTCAACTATATTTGGTGTGGCTGCATTTGCTTTATGCTGGTACATTTTCAAGAGACCAAAGAACTTTCCACCAGGCCCACACGGGCTTCCTTTAGTTGGTTACGCTCCGTTTTTGACCAACAATATGGCGGATGATTTCATGAAAATGAAAACAAAATATGGCTCTGTTATGTCTGTGCAAATGGGCCGTGAAGATTGGGTGATTTTAAATGGATATGACACGATAAACGAGGTAATGATAGCTATGCGAGTTTTCTCGAAAGAACCTCTCAAGTCTTCCACTAACTCGACGAAAAATGTTTGTCAAACACGACGTTAATCTACGCATTTCGCTCTGAACAAGGCCCTATAAATCCATCCACCGATATGTAACCTTATTTGACGGGTGTTGATATAAAAGCTCTGAACAAATCTGTGAAGATGGCAAAATTTGCAATCGACTAATGGCTGAAAAAAATGTTGTCTCTGAGTCCCCTAATCTAAATGAGGAAAATTTTCGACTCCGACTCCGAACTCAGAGTTTTGATTACATAGATGTTGACATGTGCGATATTTTTGAATACTGTTAAGAATGATTTTTAACCATAATCCTTTTTGAGATTCTGAGAAAAAGTTGTCTTATTTTATCACTAATGAATATCTGACACTTTACATATTCTACTCATAGGAATTTGAAAATGCGTCTTCCAACCTAATGAAATTCTGTACAAATATATCTACAGCTCTGATTTCAAGTGTCTAATGACTAGTTAAGAGCTATACATAAAATCATCCTCTGAACCAATATATCAGTAGATTGGCGACAGACGTAAACATTTTCAAATCCTTCTCCTAGGAAGAACAGCTATTATAATAGATCTGTTCTGTGTACAAAACCCAAGAAAATGACATTCGAAAATGTTTGGTAATGGTCTTATTTAGTTAAATTTGATCCCCGCATTGCCGTAAATAAGTGGACCGTGAATATTCGGAATTTTTGTCTTTGTGATACAATGCCCATGCGACTATTTTACGGGTCGTGGTTTACCCTTATAGATTAAAGCCCAATAATTTCCTCTAATATTCAATGTAAACCACTAGTTGTGTAAAATGCATATTCTCAGGTGGTTTTCAAAGGTTTTAGTTCAAAATATATAATCAGGGATAACTGCTTAATGATACATTTTTTAATGAACATTTTTCTCATTCAAGGCGTTAGTGAAACAAGGAGAAAAGTTCTCCGGTCGACCAAGCATCTTTTTGTTTGATGTAGTTGCACAAGGACGGGGCGTCATAACTGTCGATTATGGACAAACTTGGAAAACTTTAAGAAAATTCGGCCTCATGACATTGCGAGGGTAACAATATTATTATTTTTACAATATAATTTTGTTGTTTATACAAGAGCAACTGCAAACAACTATTTGTGAGACAAGTTGTACGTGCATTTAGCTCAACTTATTCGATAACCCTATAAATTTCATAAAATTCAGGTATACAACCATAATACCATTAAAACAAAATATATTATAATTACGAAATTGCTTATTATTTTGACTCTAACCCCGCAACTCCGGTTGAAAAATTTGTCCCCGACACCGACTATTAACTCCTGGTATAGTAAAAATTTTCTCCCACTCCATCCCCAATCTCCGAGAAAATTAAATTTAGCGTATGCAAATCCCATTCAAATAGAGTAGACTGTTAAGAACGCCCATTAAACTTTTTTGCTTTTGAGTTGCTTTTTGATTGTTTCCATCGCCATTTAAAGCCTGTTACTTCGACTACAGGCAGTTCAAATGTCTATTTCCGACGTCGTCCCTGCTCTGTACTTTTTTTTCTGTTTCTTAGGTTTCGCGTAAAATGTCTACTTTTGTGCTATCATAGTTTGGTCAACACAACACGTCCTATAATATGTTGTATTTTTTGTATTTTGCCTCCACAACTTCGCTTTTACCAATTATAATCATCAAATATGTTCGTCGAAAGAAGCTACTTAGCTGATATGCAAGTCTTCCGCAATGATTAACCCATTTTATCACAAACATCAGTGGTCGTGAGCACACTGAATGGATCAAAATCTGTAATATGCGACTACTTCTCATATATACCCATCTATTAAAATGACGTAACTTTTATACCACGTCGAACACGTTTTTTTTACAAGCAGGCAATGCCAAGTAAGGTGCCAATAAAGTTTGAGAGGTTCGTTATTTTCTACTCTCAATGGATTTAGAAATATTTAATTTACCAATTGAGCATATTTTTGACTTGCGTTGCCAACATAGTTATGTCGAATGGTTTAACGAATAGACATTCATTTTTCATTTGAAATAAAATTAATATTTCCACTCGCGTCTCTTTATAGATTCGGCGTAGGTAAGAAAGGAGTAGAAGAAAATGTCATTGAGGAAACTCCACTTCTGATCGAGAAATTGACATCGACGAACGAGCAATCTTTACGTGTATGTATATTTTATATCTGAAGGAACTGCTATATATCGTAACCTAATACGAGACTCAGCTTCTGTGAACGCTTTTGTGTAGTGATTGAAGCCTTGTGCTCAAGTATTTTAGCAATTTATATAAATATCTAAAGTTCTGAACTAATGATCTCTCCACTTCATTCATATCGGAATAATTTAGGTGTATGCTATATGCAAATCCTGAAGGTTCCATGTAGACTAGATGTCGTGCCTCCTATAAATTTCTAAAAATAAAATTTGTGTTAGATAACGTCTTATCTTATTTACAGTGGAAACTTACGTTAGCGATATCGAACATCATCTGTAGAGTGACAGTTGGGACGAGATTTGAATATACCGACAAGAGATTCGTGCGCCTGATTGAGATCTTTACAAATTTGTAAGTTTATTCTAATTTCTAATAATAAAGTATATTATTCGAATTTTGTTTACCAGTGTATTGGGCTAGAGATGCGACGATGCCGGTGTTATTTGAATTCGGCGATTATATTGAAACGTCAAGATCCTGCCCGACTGATTAGAACCACATTTAGAGATTGAAAACGTGACTCAGTGAATCGAGTCTATATCACTGTTTGTGACGTCTGAGTTTGAGTTTTTCAAATTCTATCACTTTTTGCTTTATCATCTTGTTGAAAAAAAAAATTTAAATTATATTTTCAGTTCAATCGATGCCTCCGATGCAAAGATGTTGGGACTAATAGCGGCTGCTCCCATTGTTAGATTTGTTCCACCATTTAGCGGATGCTTGAAACGAGCGTTGAAAGAAATTGATGATTTCATAGGTATGGATCTTTTAAATTTGATTCGAGCAATTTGTGAGAGACACTTTGTTCTACAATTGTAATTTATCATACAGACTCATTCTCTATTTTGTATCTTTCGGGAATTTTTTTTTATAAGAGAACTACTCGCTTCTTTCGCTCCATAAATAGGCCCTGTATCACAGCCACTAATATCGTACAATCTTTAATGAGCTACTATTTATTTGGAAGGTCATAATCTCTCCGGTTCGGCACTGCCAACCAAATTTATCACACCATGGCTGGGGCATGGGATTTGAAACCGGAATGTGTACTTTGCGATGTCAACACAGTTAAGTCTAACGCTTTACCCGCTACGCAGAAATAGAACTGAAATTATATTAGGAAATTCAGAGTTTCTTCGGAAGTTTAAAGAAAACTTCATTCTGTCGACAAGTCCTGTTTACAAGTTATTCAATACCAAACCGTGACTCGACTCAAAAAATTCAACATTTCAACTCCAACTTCAGACTATTCAGTTTTGGTTACTTTGGATTTTAGCTGAAGAGGTGACAACTTCCGTATAACAACAGCTAGAGCGGATATTTCCTGGCATTTTCCAACTATAGTTGAAATCGGCTAAAATTATTGAAACGTTTATGTAAAATCATAGATAAACAGAAGTTCAAGTGTAAAATGAATTTTATTCGTTTTAGATCGAGAAATTATATATATATATAGATTTTTTTGGGGGGGGGGGGGGGGTGTGGTCATCCTATTGATATTTTAATATTATTTCAGTTGTGAATCTAATTCGTCATTTTCCTAGTTGCTTTTACACTTTTTATTTAGAAATTTTTTGCGATATCATTGATGAACACGAATCGAACTTCGACGAAAATGATACTCGAGATTTTATTGACGCCTTCCTCAAAGAGATGAAATCTAAAGGCAAGAACGATCCCTGCTTTAATGTAAGTTGCTTTATAAACATTTTTATGAAAGTTGTCTCGACGTAACACCGTACGAGTAATTATATCTTCCTGTATGTATACAACCTTTATCTTTAAGCGGAATATCATTTAAAAGGCATGTGCATTTTATAAACAGCTTAAATATAATTACGGACGTTGTTTCAGCATATTTACATCGACCCAACTTATGATAACTGTTTAGTTTCCAAGCATTTATGGAATAATGATATTAAACTGTAATTTTACGAAATGGTAACGATTCAAATTTTGTCTATCATAGTTAGAGTGTGAAGTGCGTTAGATAAATTATCAGATCAAAAAGAGATTATTATTATACTTTATATAAGATTTAATTCCTTCTCGAAGAATAAAAATAGTTAAATACTTATATTTATTCAGAAACTTCAACTCATTCAATACATTCGAGATTTATTTGAAGCTGGAACTGGAACGACAAGCACTACTTTATGTTGGGCAATTCTGTGCTTTGTAAATTACCCAGAATGTCAAGATAAAATTGCAAACGAAATTAGGAAAACTTTAGGTATTAAACAATAACCGGTGTTACATAATGTAATATAGTAATAATACTCATGTGATCATTCCACATTTCTTCAATATATGACACACGGTTGTACTATTGAAAGCTTACACTTATATATGTTGGCATAGTCCAAAATGTCAAAAGCTCCTACACATCCCCTCGCTTATGGTGTAATTTATTGGGTACGTAATACCGCAAAAAAGGTTCACCATCATTTCAAAAACATACCAGCCCATTGCTTATTGCAGTGGATAATTTTACAGAGAATCGAAATGAAAGACGTATAAAATTTGTAGATGTAAAAATTAACTATTTGAATTTAAACATATATTCGACAGGCGAAGACGGCGTACCAAGTATGAAGCACAGAGATGAAATGCCTTACACTTGTGCCTTCATACAAGAACTCATGAGACATAGAACATTGGTGCCTCTGGGTGTATTTCATAAGACAAACGAGGAAGCAGCACTGAACAAATACACTATTCCTAAAAATACCACGGTCAGTGTAAAATATTTTTCATCCAAGTTTACTCAAACATATTTGCATACCGTCGTAGAAAAACTTGAAACAAGTTGTAAAGTGGGTGGCACTTTCGCAAGTGGACGGTTCATACCATACAAACTAGCTTTTTAAATACAGTTGGATATCATTGGCTGATTTTACAGAACCATGGTCAAAGCGAAAACGTCGTTTTAAAGTTTTTGACGCACCAACAGCTTTATATTTTCAACAAAATGTCAGTAGTGAAGTTGAGAGAAGTTAATCCAAGGAGTTATGCGGGAATGGAATTTAATGATTGTAAAATAAATATAAATTGTCACCAAAAGATCATTAATTATTAGGGATCTAATTTGAATAACATTTCAACTATTCGTTAAATCTTGTTTCCGCTCAATCACAGATATGAATAGGTTTGTATTCAATGTTACATTAAATAAACATATCATTTTAATTCCAATGTTCACTTCCACTTCCACATTCCTTTATTCCAATCCCATCATTAAAACGAATAGGCACGGTCGATTGTATTTAGTAATATATAATGTTAAATTTTTCTTTAGGTTTGTCCGAACATCTGGTCTGTTCACTTCGACCCAAAAAATTTCGAAAATCCGAGAGAATTTCGACCTGAGAGATTTCTTGACCGTGACGGAAAATTTATAAAATCGAATCACGTGATCCCGTTCTCCGTTGGACCTCGACACTGCCTGGGTGAACATCTGGCCAGGATGGAAGTTTTTATCTTCCTGACAGGAATTGTACAGAAACTAAGAGTTGTACCTAACCCAGACATACCCGTGCCTCTTTTCGACGTTGGTGGATTCAATGTCGTAACGTACGAACCTCCGGAATTTGATGTGACTTTTGAGAAACGTTAAATATTGAAAGACAGCTTAGAATAAAACAGTTTTTCTTTGTTTAAATAAATGAAAATATTATGTTAAATTGTAATAATTATAGGATGTATTTACTTGGTTGTAGCTAGGATGAATACTAAATACTACGTTATTGACCCTTGAAATATACACAAGAATACAACTAGAAAATTTTCCAGCACAATGTGAATATTTAAAATACAATTTAGTAAATTTGCAATCTTTAAAACCAGGCTGTAACAATACGCAAGATATTTTTGTGTTGTGTTCGGAATTCATCGCATCCTTCTGAAAAAGATGTAAGTGTTACCTTGTATACTTTTTAACAAGTTTAATACGCCTTTCACTCCAAGCAATGGTCTATACCAGAGGTGTTAAACAAGTGACCCGCGGGCCATAATCCGTCCCACCAAGCAATTTAGTGAGACCTTTGTCGACAATCTCATTTTTTCCCTCCAATCATAAAATCCTAATTAGTTGTTTTATGTGCAAAACGTCGCTCACATGAGTAAATGTTCATAGATATTTTTGCTGCTATCGAGGCATTAAGCATTCGCTGTTTAATCCTGTGTATTTATTAGGTAAATAAAAATATCAAATTTTCATGAAATTTATGTTTTAAATATTTAAAGTGTCTGGATGCAGATAATATTAAAAAAAATACTTGCAATTAAACATATTCCAAGTATTCCTGCACCGGGCCATTATAAACCATCGCAAATTTGCCACCAGTCCGTTTGCTCACGGTTCGGCTATTCATATTATATATAGACCGCAGATCAAAGATAGATCGACTTTGAACAAAAATACCAAATTTGAATTTTTTCATGAATTCACAGACTATTAACAGTGTTACGGTCCAGCTGTCGGCAACCCAGAATCAGTTTTACTTTATGCGGAGTCGTAATTATAACTTCTATGAAATGAATGTCGAAACAAGAGTTATCAATTTAATCCCGAGTACGGGTCGGTATTTCAGATTTTTGTATATATATATATATCACAAATTCTCAAATCAGAATTATGGTAACCCGAAAAATCATGGGGAAAACAAAAATAGCTCGGCATAGAAGGCAAGAACCGGTTCTTGATGTAATACGAGAGCAGGATCGGGAAATTTTATACGATTCCACCGCACTGAAGAGTAAAACTAGAGCCACAATAATTCAGAAAAATGATTCATATATACATTTTGTGTCTTGTAAATTAGATGTAATCTATGTGAAGTAATCTATTTGTAATCTCTGTCGACAAACCTTTTTGAGTTCTTCAAAATAGCTACTTTACAGTTTATGAACAAGTAGGTGGCGCTAGAGTATTGAGGTTTTTGAAATAGGTTAACATGTTACAATGTTACCATGGCAACAAATGGAATGTATTTATAAGAGACGGGAAGGATTAGTAAGGCAATGCTACTACCTGTAAGACTATTGTGAGAAGAATGATAGGTTTTAAACAAGTAAATTGGTGATAGTGATTCGAGGTGATACACCGAATTAGCAAGCAACAACTTGAAAGAAAAAAATGAATTGGCATGAATTATAGGCATTTTATTGTGATATTATCATACTCTCATGTACTTTTAATTTACAACAATTAAAGCCTTACGTACAAAATCAATTTTATGGTTAAAATAAATATGCCATAAGTATAATAAAATGGCAAATTGTTTGATGTCCCACAAAATTAGGCCACTATTAAACTCAGATACTTATCAATGTGTATATCAGATTGATACAGCATACAGATCATAATACAGTTTGTGGGTGGTCAGTTTGCAATTCAACTACTGTTCAATAAATTAAAACCGTGCGCAAGGAAGTATTTCAGGTTTCTAAATATGAAAATCGGAAACTCTTATCAAAACGTGATGTAAAAAAAATTATGATCAAGTAGAACAACAACAGCAAAAATAACAACAATAATTTAACAAAATGCCTCGCACATTTTGTGTCTAGTGAGTTATAAGTTAGAGTAAACGTTGTAATTTCTATCGACAACACGACAAGTCCGTTTTCTTATTAATAGGTAGGTGGCGCTAGAGGATCGAAGTTGTCGAAAAAGCTTGACATGCTGCAGTGTTACCATGGCAACAAATGGGATGTGTTTAGAAGAGACGGAAAGATTAGTGAGAGAATGCTATCACATGTAAAACTATTGTGAGTAGAATAAGATGTTTTGGAACAGTTAACGAAATTGGTTGTAGTTAGTTCAAATTATACTGTGAACTAGCAAATGACATTTTGTAAGAAAGAAGAAAATGACTCGACGGTTGACAGGCAATTCATTGTGATATTATTATGCCGTAGCAAGTATTTTGCAACACCTACAAAATCAATTTTCAGCTAAAATGAATAGGACATAAATATAATAAAACCTTATGAGAAATTGTTTGAAGTCCCGCAAAATTTGGCCACTATTAAACTCAGATGCCCATCAATGTATATGTGTATATCAGATCGATACAGCATACAGATCATCATACAGTTTGTGTGTGGTCAGTTTGCAATTCGTCCATAAGAGAAAGATATTTCATTTCATAACCATAACAAATTAAAAAAATATTAATAATAAAATATTTGGCGTATATGAAGCTATTTTTGGAACAAACATGTTAATTTCTTCAATTTACGTTTGGGGAAGCAGAATATAAAATGAAACTGTTTTTTAAATTTGATTGAATCATGTTATTAAAAGTTAAAGCAATATAGATTGCTGATAAATTCCGATTAAGTAATAAACGTCAATTTACTTCTACTTTGTGCAAACACTTGAGTCTCTCGTGCCAACCATTACGCTTTCGTTAACAAAAAACAGTAACTACAGCATTATATCTTATCACATTTGTTACGAAATATGTTATGTCACCTTTTGTCTAGTGTTCACCAGTTTGTTGTTCTTGTAAGTGACATTATTCAAGAACCTCGCCGCCTTTCACAATTAGAAATAGCAATGGATGTATCAACCGCCATTAGAATTCAATCGTAATTGTAGAGGTTTTCATTTACGGTACACAAACAATCGTTTATTTGAATGACATTTGCGCCAACAAGTACACTTTTATATACAATTTTAAAACTAATATCCGATTTGTTCAATTCATAATTTACCTGGGGTATTGTTGTTTGCACAAGTCGACTTAAACTGACGTTTATTACTTAATCAGAATTTACCATAAATCTATTCTGCTTTAATATTGCGTATCAGGATTCAATGATTCATGTTAGTTTTATAGTTTATCTAAATATTTAAACGAAATATGAATATAAAAGTTATTGGAAGTTCTTTTCAGTCATTCAAAATTACAAATTTGGAGTGACAATCCGAAAGAATGTCTAAACCAGTGTTCAATAAATTAAAACCTTGCGCGAGTCAGTATTTCATGTTTCTAAATATGAAAATCGGAAATTCGTATCAGTCAGTATTTCATGTTTCTAAATATGAAAATCGGAAATTCGTATCAAAACGTGATGTAAAAAAGATTATGTTCAACTACAACAACAACAGCTACAAGAACAACAATAATTTAGCAAAATGCCTTACACGTTTTGTGTCCAGTGAGTTATAGGTTAGAGTAAACGTTGTAATCTCTTTTGACTAGTCGGTTTGCTTTAAAAGAGCTATATACAGTTTATTATCAGGTAGATGGCGATAGAGGATCGAAGTTGGTAAAATAGCTTTATATGATACAATGTTACCATGGCAATAAATGGGATGTTTAAATGAGACGGAAGGATTAGTGAGAGAATGCTACTACCTGTAAAGGTATTCTGAGTAGAGGTTTTGGAAAAGTTAACGAAATTGATGGTAGTTATTCGAGCTGATACTTGGAATTAGCAAGTGACAATGTATGAGAAAAAATTAAATGACTCGACGTTATTAAAAGGAATGATAGGCAATTTATTGTGATTATATTATGCCGTAACATGCATTTTGCAACAACTGAAATAATACGTACAAAATCAATTTCTGGTTAAAATGAATAGGCCATAAATATTTTGTTTGACGTTCCAAAAATTAGGCCACTATTTACTCAGATACTTATCAATGTGCATATCAGATTGATACAACATACAGATCATCATACAGTTTTTAAGTAGTCAGTTTGCAATTTATCCATCAGAGAAACATATTTCATTTCATAACCATAACAAATAAAAAAAAAAATAAAAAAAAGGTTTTGCGAATATTAAACTAATTTTGGAACCAACATGATTATTTTTCCAATTTACGTTTGGTGAAGCAGAAAATAAAATATTCATGATTTTTAAATTTAAAAAATGCATCTTTCTAACAGGAATAATTGAATTATGTTATTAAAAGTTATAACAATCTAGATTGCTGGTAAATTCCGATTCAGTAATAAACGTCAATTTATTTCGACTTTGTGCAAACAATTTAATCTTTGGTGTCAATCATTTAGCCTTTGTCAACAAAAAACTGTCACGACAGCATTATATATAATCACATTTGTTACGAAATAGGTTATGTAACTATTTGACTAGTGCTTATCAGTTTGCAGTTCTATTAAATGCCAGTATTCAAGATCCTCGCCGCCTTGCACAATTATAAATAGCAATGGATGTATCAACCGCCATTAGAGAACAATCGTAATTGTAGTTTTTTTTTATTTACGGTAAACTGACAATCGTTTATTTAAATAACATTTGCTCCAACAAGTACACTTTTATTTACAATTTTACAATTAATTTACGATTAGTACAATTTATATTTGACCTGAAGTATTATTTTTGCACTAGTCGTCGTAAACTGACGTTTATTACTATCGGAATTTACCATGAATCTATTCTGCTTTAGTATTTAGTAACAGAATTGAATGTTTCTTGATAGTTTTAGAGTTAATCTCAATATTTAAGCGGACTAGGAATATATGAGCTTTTGGGAGGTCTTTTCAATCTTTTAAAATCTCAACTTTGTAGTGAAAATATTCGCAAAAGTCCTGCTGTACACTAACACAAAAATTTATTTATATAATTTTTTTAATTGTTTTCTTCTTGTCATTGTTCAAAACTGCTTGTCTGAGGAAGTCTGATTTTGGTCAGAAAAAACGTTAAAGAAATAAATTTGTGTTAGTGTGACCGGCACTCTTAATTGCATAGTTTATTTCAGTGAAAGTCCGAAATTGGGTCATGTTTAGCTGGTATTCCAGGCACACTCTAAAAGTAAAACTGAAGTCGAGTTTTAAAAAATTACAAAATCTAGTGGTGGAATATTGAAGTATTATTCGTCGGAATCTTTGAATTTTACATTTTAGAAGTATTAATAATTGAAGCAAAATAGAGCATCTAACGGAAAAAAGCGTATAGTTAAAATTTTGCAATTCATAAACAGTAAAACTTTCTCCACTTATACTGCTTCGCTCTAATTCGAAATGAAAAATCCAAATAGTGAGTTTTTCAGTACTATTCAATTTAATGTTATTTTTCTTAATAGGTTTTATTTTTATATTCCTAACTACTTGAAGGATATATACAAAGCGTCGCAAGCGTGAACAGGATAATATCGGATTTAACAACCAGTTATTGTAGACTAGAAATTAGAAGATGTGACGGTGAACAAAACATGGAGATTTCAAAAAGAAAGTGAAGTAAGATTAAACATTATATTGTTTACATTTATACATATTTAAAGATTAAAATATGGACTAGATGGAATGTTAGTTAGCACTTTGATGAACCACGTTTTTTAATTGACTGCGCATTTACATTTTGTAATTGTAATGATGGCGAAGTGAAAATAAAATTTGTCATGATTAAAATAAAATTATTACAAAAATATGTTTGAAAGCAATGCATTACGTAGTTTATGTACATAATCACAATTCGTACCTCTCTCTTAACGTCAATTTTCTATCTATTTTCATTCTTGTTCATTGTATATCAAATTTCAAACGAAGCCGGAAACGTAGTAAAAAATTGATATTTCAACACGCTTATAAAATTGCTATATGCGGCACTCATGTAAAAGAACATTTAAATAAAATATTCACTTATTTTTCTGCATCAGAAAACAAAAACAATGCATATTCAACTTCCAGTTAATTTACATTAGCATTTTTCAATCGGAACTACCGTTTTTCATATATTTGAATTGTTTATTTATTAACAGATTGTTTGTTGGTCTGCGAAATGGAAAACCAGGTTCAACAAGATGAGCAACAAACTGTCGTCAATGTTCATGGTATAATATATGATTACTTTTGATATGTCATATTATCCGAAAGTCCTATGTGGAAAGTTTTAGTAATAAATCAAAAAAATGTATATGAAAATGTACTCGTGGGCGCAAATATCACCCAAATGAAAGATTGTTTATTTATCTATTAATTTAAACGAGTCAATATTCTTTTTCAATTTCATCTTATGAGTGATCAAAAGTTGAGTATGTTAATTAAATAGACGACTCTAGTAACGCAATTTCAGTCATATTATTTGTATTGTTCTCATTTTTTCTTATGTAATTATGTGGTGTCGGATATAGGTAATAATGCGCGCTCCAGAAGTATGTGTACCAATATGGAGGTAACTAATTTTTTTCGCTTACTTTACATCAAGTTGTGTACAGTGACTGATTACCATGAGCAGGGTGTGTATTCACTTGGCTAACACAGACAGTCTCCGACTCGTATTAGAAGTAAAATAAGGAAAATCAAATTATTGCATGGCCCTAACCGGGTACACGTACTACTGGAGTACCAATAATGCACCCCACTTGCCTCTCTCTTGTAAGTTTTAAATGAATATCTAATATTCTAAAAATATATTTTTAGAGACAAACATCAGCCATTCTGAAATTGGTCAAATTTCCACCCAAAGAATTATTGCCGATCAGATTAATCATGTTCACACGGATCAATTCGTACAGCACATCCATGGTAATATATTTTTCAATATTTTGTCTCTCTAATTTCAACGTTTAACCCATATCTGACGTAATATTTATGTTAACACTTAACAAACACGAAAAAGTTGAAACTGTATAGAATTTTTCACAGTTTTGGTTCTAATTAACTAATATGCAAAGTTTAGAATTGATAAATATATCGGCCTAAAGTTCTGAAAATAGGACATATTCAATGTAATATTAACTATAGCTTAATATAGAAAATATGAGTGTTCGTTATCAAAATCCTAATGGGTAGCATATATGACAAAAGAATATAACATACGATGCCTTTGTTAACACACCTTCCGTGTATATAGATGTGAAGGATTGAAATTGGAATTTCGTTACATGATTTGTGTTTTAAATTAAGAAGGTCGGATGGGTATTACAATTTTAACAGCCTAAATCAAAATCCAAATTTTGTCGAATAGACTTTGGTATTCTTTTGAATCAAATTGAAATATAGTTTAGAATTGCTCTAAAATGTCATCTTGAACGTTTTCAATATATTACCCATATATTTTTTAGTTGGACCACACCCCCCTGGTCAGCAACAAGTACAACCAGATACTTCCTCGGGAGTGATTTCTGGTGATTTTCGTGAATATGCACAAGGATCATCATTTTTATCATCAGGTACGTAAGTTTCATACCAAACATACACTCAGTTCATTACATTACATGGTATGACCAGACACAATGCGAGTGATAGTGGTATTTATGGCGCAGTTCATTATCTCGTAAAATGAATCTGTAACTCATTCCCTTTCCCTCTCAAATTAAATTACTCAGGTTTGAATACTAATACAAAATTGAAACGGAACTTTGCTAAGCCATAAAGCTCAAATTTCATACCAGCACATTGATTATTAAATTGAACAAAACATTGCGAATATTTGCTTAGAAAATTTGGCCCAATCGTTAATGAGAGGAGCGGAGGACGATGTGGTATTCAGATGAGGTGGAAGTAGTCACGATATTTTGTTTACCCTCAAAGATAAAATGAAGCAGCAAACATTTTCCAGTCAAAATCAACAACATTATTTGAACAGAGAATATGATACGTGATTCGACGTTAAGTGTTATTTGACAGACTAATGAGCACTGTGAAAACTTTCTAGATCTTAAATTCATTATTACTACTTTTGAAAAGTTTGAACAAATCATTGGCAATATCCATGTCGCGCATTCAAAATTGATATGTCATTTCGGCTTCATTTTGCCACATACTCTTACTATGCCATCGTAAAATGTATATTTCAAAAACCACAGGAAGTCACAGCGAATGTTCCATAAACCATTGTTCCTTGTCATATTTAACGTCATAGACCATACTAATGTTCGAGGAATGGTTCCCCAAAAATTTCAAATAAGCTAATAAAAAAGTCATTTGTCGACTTGGCTTTCTTAATGTCTTTATAATTTAAATACTACCAATACCTTTTGACTTGCTTACAAACACCAGGTTGAAAATACAGTTTAATAAAGAAAAAGTGCAAATGAATATATGTACATTTTTAGCAATAAGAAATGCAGTTTCTAACAGTTATATTGACGTTACCTACCCTTGCCCCCTGAAGCATTCTCCCTATATATATAACTTTCTATTTTAAAATTCAGAACGCTTATTTTGAGAGTGTTTTGAAGTGTTGACGTTTACAAACTGGCTCACGTGTTCAAAACTGTTTTTATTCAAAACAATGAACCTCGGTACTGATAACTAATTTTAGGCTAGTCTGTCGCAGAGTTTGTGATATCAATTTCTAGTTATAATAAAATTCCCCGAAAGCCATAATGACAGTTAAGTTATTTGATTTGAAACTATTATTGGAAACACAATTGAAAACTCACATGTAATACAAAAAGACACGAAAACGAGGCAATTTTTACAACCATGCTTTGATACCTTTCTGATGAAAGGGAGTGTCTGCACAATCGATTGCACAAATTGCCATTGTTACGCCATTGTTTACTTACTGTCGATTGGACATTGTTACGGCTATAAACAAGAAAATCGATGCTCGGGGAAACATCAACAACGTTGACATAGTACACTAATAACTCTTTTAACGCGTGTGGTTACTAATGCTTATCTTATTTCGCCTTTCGCCTAATGCTTATCCTAGATTTTGCATGCGCATAAATACCACATTATTACATCATCATAAAGCAAAAGAAACAAAACTGACAGTTGCATGGATTTTGAAAATTATCAAATTAGGTGGGCAAGAAAAAAGTTCATCTTGTGACTTTGCAAGACCCCTTTGGGTGCTTGGCGAAGTAAGGCCAATCAGTAATCCTGTCACATATAATCATTTTAACCATGAGAGTGTTAGTGAACTCTCGCAGGGTTTTCATAAGTGATATAGTAAGATATTTCTAAAAAAATAAATCAACAATTTTTAATGACAACCTTGGTACTCATGTAGTAAGTGTGCCAAGAAGGCGGACAACAGAACGTAGTATGCGTACCAAGTTAGGGTTAGGCCATAATTGCAGGTGCAAATATGGCGGGAGTCACTTGGCTAGTCCCCGAACTCGTAATGGACCCTAAATTAGGAAAATAATGTCTTAACCTTATCCCGGTACACATGATACGTTGCAGTGTCCACCATCTTGGTACACATACTACGGGAGCGCCAATAGCTTTTATGATATTACAATTGGTGTAATATTGAGTTTTTTGAATAAATATCTTTATACTGATATCTAGTATTTGAAGTTTTGTTGTAGGTGCGACCTCGCGAGAGAAATCGTTTGACGAAGCCTCTACTAAATCATTGTCTGACGCTGATGGTTGTCCTTGCACCGTATATAAAGATAAAGTTTCGTCAGGTTTGTTCAGAATAAATATTTATGTTTTGAATTTTTTGATTATGATGAAGCTGCGAGGAATCAATTATGTATACTGATTGAGAAATATTTTTTATATTTTTTTGTCATTGCAAACAGAATAAGTTACCCAAAAAAATTAGAATAAATAACATCGACAAAAATTGTGTAATATATAAAAGAAAAGTTGGTAATATAACTATAACCATACTCGATTTTTTATCTATCATGAGTTTTGTTTTTGAAAATTATTTTTATAATATTCGATTTTGTTTCGATAGTATTATTAAAATAATATGAATGATAGGATAATGATATGAATAACACTATCGAATTTCAACTAATTTATTCGAACTAAAACGCCTTGTCTAGTTCATATTTTTAATTTTAGATTGTACTTTTTTGGTAAAAGAATGTTCTTGATACCGGCAAGAACGTATGCAACAATTTTTTAATACAAAATAGATACATCAATTTGCAAATGTTATGTAAATATTTAGTATGATGATTATTTAAAAAAAGAAATACTTTATCAAACGGCGGGGTAAAAATTTAATATTTATGGTAGTTATAAAATAAAACTCTTTGACTTCTACTACTAAAGAAATTGTGCTGTCGTAAATTGCGTATGTTAAGTAGGTCGAAATATATTTCAACTAATTTTAATTACAGTAAGCTTATAAGAAAGATGTGATTCAAGATTGGGTTCAAAAATTTGTGAAATAAAATGACTTTTGATATGAGCAAAAATTTGTAAATCTGACACTCTAAAATATAATAACCTTGAAAACATACGACATAAATTGTCTAGTTTTTTCCTTGTAAATGTCGCTCCAGAAGTATGTGTACCAATAAAGAGGGAACTAATATTTTTCGCCTATTTAAGATCAAATTGTGTAAAGGGACTGAAACCTATGGGCATGGGATCTTCATTTGGCATACACGGACAGTCCCCGATATCGTAAGAGAACTAAAATACGGAAAATCAAAATAAGTTGTGGCCTAATCCTAACTTCGTACAGATATATCGGGAGTACCATAAAATGAATGATTAACCATACTTGTACTCGTGATTATTGATGTTGATTGAATCATTTTTTAGTTTGAATTAAAATCAGATATTATAACAGGTAATTGCAAGAGTTGGCAGGCTCGAGTCAATTAGTAGACAGGACTCTCCTTTTTAGAAAACGCAAACTTACTCAATGACTTGAAATGACTTGTTCGCCTCAGAACTCAAAGTTTAGAATTTTCAGAAACACAGACTTGACTCTAGACTTACAGGACCCGTGACTGAACTTGACTCGCGAGTATTGAATTACAGTACATTAATGGCTTCTAACTACCTTAGCTTGGAATAAAACATCATTAATTTTCTCTCCAGGATTATCGAGGAATGTTTATAAAAAGGTCTTCAAAGGTAAACTGAAATGTTTTGTTCAATGCTTATGGAATTTTATACATTTTACAATATTTTGTTGATAGAAGCAAATAGTTATAGATAATTTAGCCTAGATCAACTTTGATTTTGCAAGTATAAATTTACAAAAATAAGCTCATCTTACAAACTTCTCGATTAATCATTTTGGTTGTGTCTGGCATAGATTGTAATAACATTGTATAATACAGTGGTTCCCAACCTATTTATGTCGACGCACACTATTGAGCATTTTGAATAATTGCGGCATACCTATCACAGAGCATGAACATTTTCTATTCATAAATTCATTTTGCTATAAGATAATAATAAACAAAGAACATCATATAAGGGGAATTTTTTCACGTAATAGCAACCTAATCTTGTTTGTTAAGATTTAATAAGTTTCTCCCATTGTCGAAATCATTCAATAGTGTTATGGTCGGCACTTGCAAGCGAATTGAAATAAGTGTTCGGGATATAAAATGATCGTCAATTCTACAACGCTTCCGTAAAGTAGTGTAATTTACTAAATTTAATATTAATTTTCATTGCATCAGGGTTTGACCTACAACGCGTTTCGTCGGAATACTGACGTGATTACAGAATGCAAGGGTGGGCAAAATAGAATATTTTTATCGAATCTAATAATTCAAATATTTTTAACAAATTGACGGATATCGGATATTTTTAGTATATATACAACAGTCATCCGGAACTGTAGACATTCTAATATTGGTGAGCTATTTCCACCGGTCCTCTTTTTTACAAGGACCAATACTTACGCAACGGCGAACGTCGGTGTTTGGCTTTATATTCCTGCGAGAACTCTGCGTTCATATCGGAGAGATATGTTATCGAGAGATAGGAGTGGATTGACTTTTATTCTGATTATTATCTTTTGCGTCAGCTTTGAACTTGCTCCCCACCGTTTAGAAATTATTTGTCCCAATTTTAAGATAACAATATGACCATTTTTGACGCCGGATTGTGGATAGTTAGAAAGACCTTGGTTGAACCTCTTATGATTTTACTTTTTTATCGTGGCTGTTTTATTTTCGTATTAAATACGGAATAAGAACCTGGCAAAGACATTGGTGAGTTTTATGCAAAACAATTTAAAAATTGAAACAATACCCATTTACGACATCTCAAATTTGTCGTTTCTGTTTGTTAGCAAGACCCGTGGAGTAATTCGTGGAATTCTTCGGATCGGTTTAGTGACGCGCGAATTCCGTGCCCAGGCAAAGCGGCTTAGTTACTTGATATATGAATAGTAAAATGCCATGCTAATATTTATAATGGTATTGAAAGAATACTTTTAAACAATCAATACACGGCGTGGTGTTTTTGGTTGGCAAAATCCAAGTCTCCCATCCAAAAAAAATTATGTGGAGTATCGGCGTCGATTGTCTTACGCGCGCGCATACAACTAGTTTACTCGCAGTTTCTTTTATTAATGATTTAAGTTAACACGCGCATTTGTAAGTCGATATAATAACTTTGAACTGTCTATTGGAAATTAGAATCACACAAAATAAATTTAAAAAGGAAATCTCTTCGTGGCACACCCATGATCATTCCGCGTCACAGTGGTTGGGAACCACAGGTATAAGATAACATGAAGTATACAGACAAGTACTTTAAAATTTAGGAATACACGCAAAAAAATTTGTTGATTACTTCAACAAACGAACGTTGCAGCAAACCGAAGTGAATATAACAGAAAGTTATAAAGAACAAAAATTACAAGAGCCAGATTTCATAGTTAATCCTCAAATTAGAAAAGTGGATCGCTTCTACAAGGGAGAAATGGCTCCTGGTGTGACAGAATACAAAATTGAACCTAGTCTTTCACTTAAAGCAAACGATGTAGAAGTTGGTAGTTTTATTTCTCTTCATGACCTTGTAATGGAATTAGCAAAAAAAGACCTCAATCGAATTGCTTTGATTGGACAAGCCGGAAGCGGGAAAACCACGACCATGAAACGACTTGTTCAAGTTGTTTATGAATTACAGCAAGACAAAAAAGGAAACTTGTTCATAATAAACGAAGAATCTACTGATGATAATGTTTCTACTAAGACGCCCTCTGTTGAAACTTTTTCTGATTCGATAGCCACTTCAGAAAATTTAACTTCTGAGAATTCTTTGGCTGAAACCTTCTCTATTGAAGATAGTTCACGTAAACCATTAGCTAATACGTCTCTTCATAAGAGGAAAAAATTGAAATATTTCTTTTTATTTATACATCACATGAGCATCAAAGATATCTTGAGTTTTAAAGGAAACGGTCGAGATGAAGCTATAAGTCCATGCGACTTACTTTTCGGCGGAAATAATTCTGAGCTTTCGCGCCAAGATTTAGAGGGAGGCTATGAGTGGGTAAAAAAACACCAGTCACGTTGTATTCTTCTTCTTGATGGTTTAGATCAGGCAACTTGGAGTCTCCACGGAGTACATAATAACATGGAATACCATGATAAATCTGGCACTGGCACAATTATGTACAATTTCATAGCACGAAAACTTTTTCCAGATATGACCATTGTTATTTCTTCACGCGAGCATCGAATTGCGTCCCTTTCTTATGAACTGCGCCCCTCGTTGATAATCGCCCTTGCTGGTTTGAATTCAAACGACATCAAAAGATTGTTCATAGCAGTGGTGGGTGAAAACGGAGAACAAACGTGGGAAAAATTAGTCCTTCAATCCCCGGCTCTTGTTTCGTTCTCTTCTGTTCCACTTTTCCTAATTTTTAATGCAATCGTTCACAAATTCAACCCTGAAAATCCACCAAATACAATCACAGAAGTAATACTACAAATACTCCACATCTTTATGCGATCAGGCCACACATTGGAAAAACAAATTGTAGAAATTCTTCGAAGATTGATGAAAATGTCGTTCGAAGGCACGCAAGAAAAACGAGTCATTTTCAATATAAAGGATCTCAGAAAAGTTAAAATCCATTCAGAGGAAGTTCGCGACATTATCATAAAAGTACCCGGAAACAACATGATAAACCAACATCTAATGGAGGGAGACCACCTGATGTTTTTCAGTCATCAAATCTTACAAGAAGTGTTAACTGCTCTTTATATAGCAGACATGGAGCCCAGCAAATTTCATGCATTTATTACAAATAATATGCGTGCTGATCATTGGGGCGTTGTTCTGCGTTTATTGGGTGGAGCAGTTCTAAATCCAGATATTGAACAGAAATTTATACAAGATTTTTCTGATGGTAAGTTATTCCAACATTACCTGCTGATTAAAATTTCCAAGCTACCAGATACTGCTATGTTGTTCAATTAATTTTCCTGTATTTTCAAATGTCACATAAGTTAAATTTTTAATGAAGTAACTTGTTCAAAAAATTATTTTATCATCGATATCAAATAAGGCTTCTTGGACTCGTTTTATTACAATAGTGTATCGTTCAATGTAGTAATGATGCTGTTGTCTTCGCTATCTTCATTTCTCAGATGATCTCTATTTGTAATCAGCTTCCAACAGTTATATGACGGTTGTCTCAAAATTGTTGAGTCCTTCTTGTTTTGTTTGTGTCACTCTTGTCTATCATTATTCCCAATTGTTCACCAATTGAATAACTTATCAAATATGTTTCCCTCAATCTAATTGTTTTCAAAATTTTCCAACGTGTTCCACAGCTGTTCAACTTGTCTCAGTCAATAAATTTGTAAGGGTCTTACTTTATCTTATAGAATTATAGATCAAAAATGACCTATTCAGTTGCACGATTCTCACTTCAATCCTTTCTCCAACAATTTATATAATTGGTAAAGGTGTTGAGGATTGGGACAAGTATGAACAAAGAACAGAGTGTCTCTCCCCCTCCCCACAAAAAGGAACCCATAAATACATTGATTGATTATTGGAAATGGATTAAATAATTTGTTTTTGTTCATACTTGAACTTGAACTGTTTGTTTAGAAATGTACCAAAAAATTTTAGGGAGCTAGGATGTTCACACAAAAATTATGAACTATCTGGAAAATTTTTCAAATCTCCTCTCAGGCATAGAAGACAAACTTGTATCCGCTTAGCAAAATAGTCAATCCCCAATTCAGTTTTCTGACGAAGTGCCCTTTCTGCTGTCTGGTTATTTGAATGGCCAATTTTTTGATTACCTGGATACAACACCTTCTAAAAAGTATAGTGCGCAACATGGGAAGCCATTTCCAAACATTGCATATTTGGTTTATAATGGTTTAAATAAAATGGAACATTATGATACTGAGAAAGTGCTGGACATCATTTGGGCAAGGTACAGGAGTTTATTGATAAGTTCCAGCAAAACAGGGAGCCCTTCCAAATATAAAATCACTAGAAAATAGAGTGATTTCAGAAAAGTTTGATCAGCAGTAAGTGTGACGTTGAGTGAGCACCACATTCGTTAGATTTGAATCTATCTGATATTTATCTGTGAGGGAATTTGAAGGATGGTGTGTTTCAGAACATTTCCCAAACAATTGGTAAACACAAAACAGCAATTGAAACAAAAATCAAAATATCTTCATAGAGGATTATGAGTGTGTGAGTGATTTGACGATTTTGCAACGCATGCAATTCTGTCTGCTATGCTTTGGGGGAGATTTGGAACATTTATCGGAACATGACTTTTGAGCAAATCGTCTAAGATTCCTTATACTTTGGGATACAAACGTGCACAAACATGGGTTGAATCACAAACAAAACCTAACGAATTTTGTAGAAATTAATCATTAATTTATGGGTTTCGTTTTATTTATGGGCCACCATGTACAAAAGTATTGAGCAAAAGTGAGGCATGAATGACGCGGCATTTTTGAGACACGATATAATAACTGTTTTATTTTTTGCAAATTGAATCTAATTAACATTTTACGTATGCATTTCATATAATATGTCAGTGGCAAGATACGAAGAAAAAAAAAATATCTTGAGAGCATTCCTGAAAACACAGATAAGCAAAAGTAAGTTGCCATACCAGCAGTTGAACCTTTTTGGAACCTTATACGAAGCCAATGACGTCAGCCTAATTCGCTCAGCCGTCAAAAGAATTGATTTTGTCGGCGCTTCCCTAACTGAGGAAGGAATCTATGCAATGTCATCTGTGATGCGGCAATGTAGTCAACTAGATCTACTCCGGCTTGCTAAATGCGGCCTTACTGGTGAGCTATTTCGAAGAATGGAAAAGAATTTAATTGGTTCAGAATTGAAGGTAATTGTGAATAAACATTAAAGCATCATTATTTGAGTAACCGAGGACAAAAAATTAACATTTATTACATTCTAAAAAAGTTTTTTGAAGATTTTGTTTCGATTTATTTTATTGTTGTTTAAATTTGTAAGGATTTTTCGTTTCTCAGCATAGAAATTCAAAAATATGACTGAATTGACATGTAATTTTATTGCAAGCCTATAATCATGCAGGTAACAGAATTGGACATCAGTGGGAATACAATGTACAATGAATACTGTAGTGCTTTCAGTGCTTTCCTATCACATATTGATATTTGTAAACTCACCATGCAATATTGCGAACTAACGGTGAACGGATTTCGAAAAATGCAACAACACTCCGGATCAAAGGTTATTGAAATCATTGTTTTGTTTTTTAATCCAATACAAATTTCTGCTTTATGATAAGAAAAGCGCAAAATAGATAAATGAGATTTATCCAATAAAGCCATTTTCATAAAATCAATAATTATTTAAAATATGAAAATGAATAATTGCATAATGTTGTAAGTGTCTTTTTAAGCAGACGTTTAGAAGACCCCCAAGTCATCAATATTTCGTAATTCATTTATTCGATAAGTTTGATAAAATTAACAATGTGACAAAATCATAATATTTTAACCTATTGTATTGGAAATGTAATTCATTATCATTTTAAGGTTCCAAACACGTTAAATGAATTTTTTAATAAACTTTGATCTCTAATATAATGGTTGATCGATTTGCAAAATATCTAAATTATCTCTTTTACATGTCAACCTTAAGTGCATATTCAAATTTCGTTACTACTTTAAGACTTCCCGTATGATAAAACATTACTTTTATATTTTCCGAATTTATTGCCTACTTTTCAGTATCAGAAGGCAAGTTTTCGAAATATTGAAGCTTCTCAGGTAATGAATACCGAAAAATGTATTTTGAAATTTCAGATTCACACATTGGATGTTCGATTTAATGGTGCAATGACCTCTGAACTGTATCATGCAATTGCCTCATTTGCAAAATACAGAGAAGTAGAAGAACTATTCATGGATCGATGGAATATCTTTAAAGCAAATGAAAATATAGTTTCCACAATTTTCGAATTGAAAGTATTGGGCAAAGTGAGAACACTACAATTTAAATTTTATATTCATTCATACATGTGTTATGATGAAGATAGAATCAAAAAGTATTTCATATTTTTTAAAACTGTGAAATTTATTTTTACCATAATTTCAAAATATCCTATTTGCTCTAGGTAAATATGTTTGATATCAGTGGCGTAAAAAATCTTGGCCCAGCTGGTTTTGCTAAAATTGGATCAATCGTTTCGCGATGTCAACCAAAAGTTCTTCGGGCTCGAGAATGCAATTTGACATCAACGGAAATGGAGTCATTGAGACAAAATATCTCTGATATAAAGGTTTGCATTTAAAATGACATTTTCAGATTTGAACAATGATATTGAAATTTATACGTCAATCGAAAACGGTTAATGTTGTCTTGATAATCTGAAACATTATAAAATCACGGATATATAAAAACTTTAATTATTTTCTAAAATTTATCTTATAATTCCTTAGTCTTAATTGTAAAGAATATATTTTGAAATATTAACTCATCGGTATTCGTATATGTCACGAAAGATGATATGCAATGTGGACAAATGATTGTTTTATAGGGAAAAACAAATTATTTGTTAAAGGTAAAACAGAATGGTTATTTACAGATGGTTGTTTACGAGGTAATATTAGCAAACGATAAGATGGCAACACCTATGGTACATATTGCGCCATAATTTGCCATAGCAATTTCAATAAATTAATATTGTTTGAAATGGATATTTATTGTATAATTAGTTTAAGGAGATTTTTGTTTTCCAAAATACCACACAGAGCTGCGTCTACACAATGGCATGTTACAACATACTCACGGTAACCAATGTTTTTTCCACATTGCTTCACCCGTAATGTCTTTATTAATTAATATATCTATTTTTAATCAATGACATTGTTCATGGAATAAAATTAAAACCCACCAAGTTATCCCCTGGGGTATATCAAATGAATGGCACATGTCGAAATAAAAATATAGCAATAAATGGAAACTCTCTTGAACTAGAATATGGTATGTGACAGGTTTATTAATTATATCCTGCGTTTGAAGTACAAAGACCCACGTTCACATTTTATGGAATTCGAATAATTTTATTTCTTTTCAGCTAATGGAACTGAATGTTAGTGGTAACAAAAGACTAGGAACTAATGGCTTTGGTGAAGTTGGATCAGTTGCTTCTCTGACTCAGACTAAAGTTCTTTCTGCCTGGGAATGTAATTTAACAGCGGAAGGAATTAAAACTTTCAGGGAAAACACTAAAAATGCAACGGTAAAAATTGTTTTGATGTTTTGTTATATCTTTGTATTAAGTATATTTCTCAACCTTCCTTGAATGTAATATGAACATATGAAAAAATACCCTATACTAATATATCAACCATGTTATTGATAGCCCGCTTCCATTTATATCCATACTTGTCATACGTTTATTCAATAATACTCTCGAAATAAATGTTTTGTTTGATCAATCAAGTCACCAACTATAATTCCTCTTCCTTCCGCCTCGTTATTTTTGACGACATCGCTTTAGTTTAGATTGCAAACAAGTTACTTTTAACTGAACAAATAAACCTTTTAATTTACGACATCTTTATAATCTCGACATTAAATTAATTTCGGACGCAATGTAAACAAGATAACATTTTTCAATAGTTCGACGAACTGCTAATCGGCGGAAATACCGACCTCGGAAAAGTTGGTTTTGGAGAAATTGGTTTGGTCACTTCACAATGTCAAGTAAGGAAACTTAATGCTTGCGAATGCAATCTTACAGCAAGAGAAATAAAAGCTTTCAAGGAAAATACTCGCAATGCAAAGGTGACACATGGTCATTTATTTGATTTGTCGGTGGTATCAGTAAAATAAACCTGTGGCTTATTAGCACATAAAAAACATGTTATTCAAAATATCCATAATTTATTTAATGTTAAAAATTATATTATAACTCTAAGTGCAAATTAGGATTTCATATTTTTTTCACGTATCAAGTGATAAGAACGATATATCTTGTAGATATCTTGTTATCTTGTTAGGTGTACTTATCAAAAAAAAGTATTGTTTAAAATCAGTCTCCAAGTTTGTAGTATTATAATTTTATTTCACTGGTATTATAAGTCAACAGAGCATTGCTCGTAATATGGTTGTGTGCCATCTGATGTTCAAACTTTTTCTATATCCATGATTTTTTATTATCAATAGACTTGCATAACGATAGTCAAAGTTAATAGTTTTATTTTTGAATAAATTTACATTTCTCTCGACATATTATCAGATGGACACTCTAGTTATCAGCGGTAACAAAAATCTGGGTACTGATGGCTTCGCCGAATTTGGCCTCGTTGTTTCACAATGTCAGATCAAAAAAGTTAGTGCTCAAGAATGCGACGTGACAGCATATGATCTAAGAGCTTTTCAAGAGAACACGCGTGATATCGAGGTAAGTTTGTCAGAAATTAATTTTAAAAATCAATTATTTCGATAAGTAAAACCCATGTTGGTCGTCGATCGATAAACGCTGGACATTTTCAAATACCTGGAATATTTGGAAACATAAAATCCATCACTCTAGGCAGTTCATTAAGTTGTCACACACGACGAGAAACATTTTTTATTAATACTTCACTAGAAATTAAAAATCCAGATGTCAGAACAGGGTTTTGAAAAATATCTATCAAAAAAACGAAGTCTGAAATTCATACAGAAATAATATAGCTGCAATTCGTAATTTTTGTCTGAACCGATTGAAATGATTTGTAATTAGATTCGATATTTGATTCAAAATGCCCAGTCCCGGATACGACCGTCACCCTTTTTGCTTTTAAAAAATATTAAAATCTAGTTATCAATTGTAATTGTTGGGAACTGCAAACATTCTGCGTTGGCACACATACCCGATTTACTTTATGTCACAAGGTTTCCTTGACCATTTTTTTGACTTGCAAAACCAACATCTCTCAAATCTTGATCTATCGCGCCAGTCTATGGCCCTCACTTGGCTAACCCAGACAGTCCCCGAACTCGTAATAGAACTAGAATAAGGAAAATCGGAATAAAATTATGGCCTCGCCCTAACATGGTACACATACCACGGGAGTACACTATTGTAACCATCAATATTAAACGTGTTTATTTTTCAATGTTTTAGATAAAGAGATTGGATCTAAGCTGGAACAACGTCGTATTAATGGGACAAGAAGGATTGTTTGCAATCAGTGATATTGTCCATCAATGCAAAGTTCAAAAACTGAAAATGTATAATTGCAAATGGAATACACAGCATTTGAAAATATTTAAAAAATCAATCAACGACATTAATATTAACTTCAAGCATTAGATTTTGATCTAAAAATGCATTTTTTACGCGAATAAAAGCTTCACAATAATTACACGAAGAATTTTTCTATCAAGCCAGACTGTTATTTTTTGCATTGAATCAAAAAGATACTAAAAATTATTTACTAAAAAGTTGATTGCCTTCTGATCAAAACTCAAACTCATTTCTTAGGATAGTTGTTTTATTTGAATTATGCCAACTTTTAGATAATAGCGCCAACATGCGGATGTTTATTGGTAGATTCATTCGAGCTATTTATTGATCAGCAATAAGATAGAAACATCGTTATCGGTTTTGCATTTATTTTGTGATATTATATTTAATAACTATATTATTTTGATCAATCACTAGTTTATTTTAAAACGTTTTGTGCATTCCAGGAAAATTTCAAGCCTCTTTTTTCTGAATACATAGTATTTACACATAGTATTTATGGTCTTATGGCACATACAACATATGTTGTAATATTTCTCAGCATTATTTGATTCCGTTAATTGAAATTACTATTTCCACATATTTCATAGTTTAAAATATTTATTGTAAGTTAATATTATTTCTCAGTTATTTTTTGTTATTATTTTAATTTGATCTTGAGCAAAAATTTTAAACTTTTCCATTGTGTTCCCGACCTAATTTGTAACCATTTTTACGTTTGCAGTTCATTACATCATTTACATGCACATTTTCTAGTGCAGGGGTGTCAAACTCCTGGGTTTTTGAGGGCCGCTTTGCATTATGGGAAATGAGCAAATGGCCGCAAACAGTAATGCATACTTGAAGCATATTATTAGATAGATGTAGGTTGTGACATATATTGTGATCCAATTAAACCGCCGAATGAAGTTTTGTTATTTTCCTAAATTTTAAATGCCTTTACATATTAATTTTTGAATTTATTATTATTGCAATTTACTGTATTTATTACAAAAAATCATAAATTTTTATGTACAACTATCCAAAACATTTTTGAACAAAGTTTTGATAAGAAAAGAATAATACATACACTAAAATGACTTAATCTAAATATATGATCCTAAAATTTACAAAAATACTACAGATAAAATCCATATCTTTTTATTTGGTATGTCCTGACGATTGGAATCTCTTTTTTTGCCACCAGCTTATAATATCAGGCTGAAAGGATTTTACACTACCAACTCTAATTACCGAGGTCACATGATCATCGGTTAATCTGGATCATTGTAAATGTTTGATTCATTTCAGTAATGCAAAAATATTAGGTTTATCATTTTATGTATAGATCAGTAAACAAACAAATAACTGACTTTTAAGATCGGACATTCCCCGCCACATTTCGCGACATTTCCTACCTTTATGTGGCATTGAAACGCTTGAGTTATGATTGATATTGATTTTTAGGTAGTTGTATAAATATAATAACATACAAACACTTCTGTTCCAAATTGATCTTTAAATTTGTCACATTGACTACTGAGCTTACTCTGATAATGTCTACCTATATTGATTCTTTCATTGTACTGATGGAAATGTGACTAATTTAATAATGTGCTTTAGAATTTTGAAAAATGAAAACATATTGCAACTCCCATTTTTCTTCAAGAATGCCACCTTCTCCATGTACTTTGCGTTTCATTCAATTCCTGAAGTTTTTTTTTTTTTTCTCAGTATTATTTTGCTAGCTTGAGGTGTATCCATAATTGGGGTAAATTGAAAACAAAAAATAAAATTTTAATTTTTTAAAACTACTTTTAGTAACTTGTCGTTTTCTGTGTGAATAATCAATTTTCACTTTAAAAGATTTGAACAATGTACTACATTTAGATAAATAAAATCTTACATTTATTTTTAGGCGTTCGATGGCCGCAATGGAAGTTGTATAGGCCGCATGCGGCCCGCGGGCCGCGAGTTTGACATCCCTCTTCTAAGGGGAAATTTTTAATGTAATAGTTTATCATACCCAGTTTTAGTCTCTGCATTTCCATTTCTTTCTTATACTTGAGTTTGACATCTTTTGCCATCTTGTGTGCACTTTTTTTTACCTAATTAATAAATTAGGAACACCAATTTCATGCAAAAGTCATTCAGTTTTATACTGAGGATCTAGTCAAATTGCCTATTTTTATTTCTACCAAAATAACGCACAATACGCATTAGTGGATCTTCCGTTTCGGACAATTGTATTCTCAGTCGTACAATAGACGCTTCATACCTCAAATTGAATGAAACATCGGTGGTTGCCTTCGCGTCTTGATAAGTATAAACTTTCAGTTTTATTTGGAAAACATTTAAGTTAACGGTACACAAAGAAGAACTCAAAATGGGCCATAAATGAATGGACCACAAAACTCAAACTCATTTCTACATGATTTTTTAGTTGAATTTTGCCAATTTTGAGATAACAGCGCCAACGCGCGGATGTTTATTGATAGATTCATTCGAGCTATTGATCAGCAAAGAGATAGGCACGTCGTAATCGGCTTTGCATTGATTTTGTGATATTATAATATATAGATATATTATATTTGTTTAATTCTTTATTGTTAAATGTTTTGTTTAGTCCCAAAAAAGTTTCATGTCTCCTACTTTCGAATCTGAAGCTACACAATTTAACAATACCAATTCTGAATCCCTGCTACGACTTAGAATAATGACATTTTCTTTCATTGAAAAATTGGAAATTTTCTAGCTGATAGTAATTTGATTCTCAATTTTGAATTGCAGAAAACTAAAAATCCCATAATTAAATGAAGTAATTGAAAATAATATTCCAGCTCAAATTTAAATACTTTATAGGTGGGTTATCACGCGAACATTTTTGTAGAAAAATTGATTCTATATATATTTTTTAGGATTTTGGCCTTAGTTATCTAAGAATCTATGAATTTTTAAAAACTAGTTCAACAAAACTGGCGTCCGATGTCCGCAGAACGTTTAATGACGTCATAGCAAACAAAACAAATCTCACAGAGCTAACAGAAATATTTAAAATGAATAAAAGTAAGACCCTTCTGGGAAAATTTTTTATCTTCAACCACTGAAAATTTCAAAGCAATTGGTCCAGTATTCGGAGAGAAAAACGATTTTTTTAAAAATGATGGAGACAAATAATAATAACAATAACAACAAAATTTTGAAACGATCGTTATGTCCACTACGTGTCCAACAAAGATTGAAACAATAATGTATTGTTAAATATAAATGCTAATGCATAAGAATTTCTGAATGTGAAGGGATCAAGCCACGGCGTTTTATTTAATGATCGTACCGGTACTGACCGCCCGTCAGAGGGCTTTGAAGAACTGATCCTAGAGTAAGTATTTACCACTTTATTTCGTTTATCGACTGTTTGATAAAATATTTAGTCAGGGCATGATGATACCCAGTCACACTTTCGTATGAACCAAATACAAATTTCCAATTTGTACATTTTCCAAATAAGTGATAGTCTTTTCCAAATAAGTGATAGTCTACTACCAGACAAACGTAGATTCCCAATAATGGTTCAGTTTTTTTTTTATATTCATTTCACATTATTATGCAACAAAACACTGTTGTATGTTGAACCTTACTAAACTGCCCGGTGATATTATCCTGATCTTTTTTTTATGTCAGTTCTATCAATCCAATTTGTTTTCCAGTGCACACTGCTATTGACAACACAGTCCAGCTGTTATCGATCAACTAATGGAGATTCGTGACAACATAGCCCAATAATCTAATCTAATGACTAGGCACATTAGGTTATGCAATCTTTAATTTTTCTGTAGATTATCTGCAAAATATCATCAACGAACACTAATCACCGTTTGACAAACATCACATCCGAGACTTTACTGATGCATTCCTGAAAAAAATAAAGAATGGCAAAAATAATGATTCTAGTTTTAACGTAAGATTGTCGTTAAATTTGCAAAATTAAGTATCATAATGACACACTAGTCCAGGAGTGGCCAACCCGCGGCTCGCGAGCCGCATGCGGCTCATGAACCAGTTTCATGCGACTCTTTTCGCCTTGGTTATTTAAAGGAAAAAATAAGTTGCAACTAAGATTTATCGTTTATACGAATAAACATATTATGATTCATCGTAAATTCTTCTTTTACGTCGAAGATACACCTTCATTCCCTTCACCATGCAATCGTCTATTATTACGTACATATTGAATCATTTGTTGTGAGATGCGCTCATTGCACTGCAACGGCTGTCGTAATCGTAGTTCTGCGAGAAATTACCATTTGGGTGAAGTAAGTGAGGTGCAGATAAAACTTCACAGATTACGTCGTCGACGACTGAGACGGGTAGTTTAAAATTCCCTCTAGTCTCAGATGAGGCTGCAACTGAGTTGAAGATGATCGTATTCATCAGGAAGACCAATCGAAATGCGCTTTAAATTAAATAAAGGTAAGGGACCATTGAGTTATGGCCATATATGCCAACGTCAAACAAGCTGGGCCACAGGTATTGTCAATGTTTGGATTAACATACGTCCGCCAATCTGTGTTTTTTACTCCAAAACACTAGAAATTAAAGCATTGATCTGTTCTTATTGACACCCATGTGAAAGAACTGCTTCGATTGGCTACAACGACATAAGTCCCACTAAGTAGCATGCATAATAATCACTGGCTCGTAAATTCTTGCCATAATCATGTTGGTTAGTGATATTTACAATAAACTAGCATTCTGGCACAGCTGAATAAAGGTCTATCTGATGTTTATATATGTTCTGGTTTATATTGTGGCAATTCGCGGTATCAAATTAAGAAATGCGGCTCTTGGTCTCTGACTGTTTGCTCTCCCCTGCTCTAGTCCATCGTTTCCCAAACTGTGAACTGCGGAACACCGAGCGTCTTCCGAGTGTTCCGTGGAAAGTATATCAAAAATACGTCTAAATGGGTCGACATGGAAATCGGACTAACTATGGTAGAGTAGTGGGCACTCGCATTTTCGTTAAGCGTCGGCCTAGTGTTTTGACTGTTAAGTTCATTATCATGTTTGCAGCAATCATTTTGATTTAGCAGGTAGGTCTAAAGATTAATGGCAAATGATCAACTCTTCTTCCGCCATCTCTGCCAGGATTTACTTTGAAATGCTAAAAAAAATACTCACGTTTGCTAACCTTGATTCAGCAGATAAATATATTGCAGCTCGCGAAGTTGCAGCAGGTAATATATCTCCATTAGACTTAAAATTAGAGGCAAATACTACGTAATGGAAAGTGAACGACATAGAAAGGTGAAATGAATTTGTTGATTCATATACAAAGCATTCAAATTAAGAAACAACAAAAACATTTATAACTAATGAAATATTCAATCATATTTTAGGTATGTTTAACACAATTTTGTTAGTTTTCGCGTCGCATTTGGCAACTCGCTACGACGAACCCATTGGGAACCGCTACATTACACCGTTTTTCTTAATCAATTTTACTCTTTCATTTTTTGGTTTTCCGCGAGACGAGATAAAAAGTGTAAGCGTTCCGTGTCAGAAAAAATTTGGGAAACGCTGCTCTAGTCTACAAGGCCGTGGTTTTTGATTTTCTTTAGTGTTCGCTTTAGTTTTTCACTCACACGTGAATAATATGCAAAATCCTATTTTGAATATTCGTCAAAACACTTGATTAACATTTTGATTTCCACCGTGTATGTTCCGTCCGGGATTTACTTTCTATATAATATTACGCTCTGATTTCATAACGTCTGACAGTTAACAGAATATCTTCGTATTTGCCTGGATTTAAAGGGAAAAGATATCTTCATTTGGCAAATTCGTTAAGATATATAAGTTTCTGAACCAAGGGACGCAAAACCATTCGGATCACGGTCCACGGGGCTCGAGTTCGACACGACTTGATTCAATAGCTCGAGTCTCCCCAATATTGGGAAATGTTAGCAGGGCATTCTCGGTCCACACCTAACTCTTTCATTTGTATCCAACCAATCATTTCATTTCAATCATCTTCATTTAAAGCAATCACATAATATTGATATGATATGTATAAGGTGAGAAATTGGGCTTTCTATATACTCATAAATGACATTTGCAGTTCCGAGATTTGAAACAGTTCCCAATTTCATTCAAAAATTGCAGCTCTTCCAGTACATACGTGATCTTTTTGAAGCTGGATCAGCTACCATCAGCAGTATCATGAGTTGGATTTTACTTGGGTTTGCTCATAATCCGGAATGCCAAGAAAAAATAGCAAAGGAAATTGCTAAAACAATAGGTTAAATTGTCTTGTTGGCGCAGAGCCTTGATTAAATCTTAATTGTGGAGCGCGGACTGCCCACATAGGGTATACGGATGGCCAATACCAATACTCTCGACGACCAGGTTGCACTCCCAAAAAGACGCGTACTATCACTGTATCAGCATAAGATGTTTTATTTTCTTGTGATGTGTTGCAAACAGTGTAAAACAATACGAACAAACAACGTAGTACGAACAACAATACAGCAGTACGTCTGCACGAACAGATGCACAATACAAAGAAGTACGGTTTTCTGAAATAACATAAAAATAATAAATACACAAATAATAACAAGATCGGGGTAGTATCGTATCAGTAGGCCTATACTATGATATTGTAAACAAACATTAAATATGTTTATTAGGTCACACAATCACCTAATGACCAAATATGGCATCACTAACGGTTATAATAAACAAACACACAAATTACCTCTGCCGGCACCTTCAAGGCCTGACAGGAAAACAAATACAAACCATGTAAAACTTACTTGACGTTGTGTCCTCGAGGGTCGTCAAGCAGTAACTTGAACATTAAATCACAATGACTTGACTGAATTACTTAGCAATATTACAATAAAAACTGTGAGGAATATCAATAATACACTAATATTAGCAGTACAAATAAATATCCTACATATAACTAACACTACAAGCTTAAGTCGTTCGCTAATTAATCAATTATAAACCCTAAAATAACACTCTCAGACCGACGTCAGAACAGCCATCAGCCAGAAACTTCCAGAACCCTGCAGCGTGCGCGGTCCCCTGACGTCAATTCCACAAAGTCATTGTGGTGCAATAACCAAGCATTCGATAAGCTGGTCCCTGGCGCCAACTTGCGGGAGCAAAAATTTTACTTCAAGATATTGGCAGTAACACCTTGGCCCCTTGGAAATTGAAAATTTGTGTCCACATACACCAATTTACAGATTTCCACACACACATTCAAACAAATACCAAACACACAAAATATAACGAAATTGTGTCATGCAAAAGAAATTTCATGCAATAGCTAACTTGCTAATTACAAGCATGCAATAAAATAAGCTTTGTTACATGTCTTTGAAGAACAGAATATTGGGTCTGGACACTAACAGATCGAACAAGGCCCTCCTTGCCAGGGAAAATCTTAATAACTCTACCCAACAGCCAGGTATTTCGTGGCAAGTTATGATCCACAATGAGAACAATGTCATCCTCGCTCATATTACGTTGAGGTTTGTTCCACTTTTTTCTTTGTTGTAAAAGAGGTAGATATTCCTTTCTCCATCTTTGCCAGAAAATATCTGCCAAATATTGGACCTGTTTCCAGCGTTTCCTCGAATACACATCCTTATGTTCAAACAAACCTGGTGGAAGAACAGGTTCTTGTTTTATTAACAATAATGAATTTGGAGCCAGTGGTGTCAAGTCATTTGGATCACTTGAAACTGTTGTAATTGGACGTCCATTTATAATAGATTCACATTCACACATTAAAGTGGATAGAGCCTCATCGCTTAAATTTGTTCCCGACAAATTGAATTAAATACCTTTCTGACAGTCCGAATTTGTCTTTCAAAAACACCACCATGATGTAAAGCGGAAGGTGTTTGAAATATCCATTTTATATTTTTCTGAAGCAGAAAATCATGATTTTGCTTCTGATTCCAACATTTTATTGCTTGACAAAGTTCATGTTCGGCGGCCACAAAATTTGAACCATTGTCACTTCGAATTTCCAACACTTGACCTCTACGAGAAACAAATCTCCTTAGCGCCATTATGATTGAGTTCATGTCCAAATTTTGAGCTATTTCCACATGTACTGCACGGGTAGTTAGACATGTGAAAAGAACCCCATATCGCTTAACATCACTTCTTTCTTGACGAATGAAGAAAGGCCCAAAACAGTCCAAAGCCACATATGAAAATGGTTGTTTATCAGGTGTTATTTTATCAACAGGTAAATCCGACATTTCTTGATACTCGGGTTTACGCTGCTTTCTTCTGCTCAAGACACAATTGTTGATCATTTTCCTCACTAATGAAGCCCCCTTTACAATCCAATAGTTCTGCCTAATTTCTGCAAGAACATATTCTCTTCCAGTGTGTCCAGTTGTCCTATGAATATATTCAACCATCAGGGATGCAATAAGACTTTCATTTTGGTATAACGATTGGATGCTTAGCATCATAACTAATTGGAGCATCTTTGATTCTGCCTCCGACACGAAGAATATCATTTTTCAAAAAAGGACGAAGCGAAATCAAAGTGCTTGATTTTGGAATTTCTTGATTATTTGACAGCAAACGTATTTCCTCAACGAAATATTTTGATTGTTCATATTTGATTATCTCCAATTCCGCATTTCGTAGTTCAGTAACAGAAAGTGGTTGAATACGATTTTCTTTAGGCAGGTTAGAAGGCAATTCATTTGCATTAAGTTTTGGAAACAACATATTTCTACCTTGTAATATCCAGGCAAAAGCTTTCTTCAGACGAAACCTGTCTGAATATTTTGAAATTATGCGATCCAGGACCGATTTTTGACATGCTGTATTTGAAAAACATTGTATCGATTCTTTTTTCACCTCAAGATTATTCGTAGAGCAATCGTTCATAAAATCGGGCTGTAAAGGCCATTTCTCAGCAGCTTGCCACAAAAAAATCAGGATCAGATTTCCAGTATTGGCAATTCAAAAACGCATCAATTGAGAGTCCCCTTGAGGCAACATCTGCTGGGTTCAGTTGTGAAGGCACATAACGCCATTGTTCAATTTCAGAGGTTTCTTTTATCAAGTTTACTCTATTGGCCACAAAAGTTTTAAATACTTTATCTGTATTTGCCAGGTATCAAAGAACAATTGTACTGTCGGTCCAAAAATATGAAGCCGAAATTGGAAGTTTGAGTTCTTTTTTTAGAAATGCATCATTTTTAGCAGTAATTGTTGCTGCACAAAGTTCGAGTCGCGGTATTGTTGAACCATTTAATTTTAAAGGGACAAGTCTGGTTTTTCCACTTATAATAGCACAATGAACTTGTTCATACGTATTTGTAATTGTAATGTAGGATACGGCACCATATGACTTTTCAGACGCATCTGAAAAATGATGAAGTTGTATATCGATTATTTTACCAAAATCTTTTGGTGTATAGCATCTCGGTACATTGAAATTCTTTAATTTTGGTAAATCAGAAAGCCATTTTGACCATTCTTTCTTCAATTCTTGTGGAATAGGATCGTCCCAATCATATTTCTTCCTACATAAATCTTGGATCAAAACTTTCATAGGTGGAAGAACTGGCTGACCGAAACCAGGAGGATCAAAAATAGATTTAATAGTTGACAACAATCCTCTTTTTGTAGCAGGTTTATCCTTATGTTTGACACGGAAGCACAAAGTATCTTGTTCTACATCCCAAATCATACCAAGCGCTTTTTCCACTGGCAAATCATCCACTGAGAGATCCAATCCTTTGACATCTTTTATCATTACTGACCCATTTTGTTATTTCAAATCCACCTTTGGATACTAAATTTCTTACATTCTTGACATGATCTATAGCAGGGATGGCGAACCTTTTTCAATGAATGGGTCAAAAATTATAATTTTATCGCGGAACAGAAGCGAGTGGGTCACCGATATTTAATTCACCTTTGTATCTATAAGAAACTTCTGAAACAAATCTTGTAAGCTGGTGTTGGTGTAGTTTTGGGCTTTACTTATGCAGCACTTCTATCAGGGACTTTTCATGGCACTCGGTTTTATGATGTTAGAGTACGAAAACACGCATATGAATTACCAAAAATGTTTAGGATGATGCGTTAAATTATTTTACGGTTCTAGTGTTTGGAAGTAATTCCGCTTTGATAGTGTTATAATTTTCGATCAGCTTCCAACCACATTAAGGCACTTTTACACTGCCCCATTGTTATATCAGATTACTAAATTTTTATTTCAAATCTGAAAGATTTTGTTTTCTCAGCGGCATTGTAGGAGAGAAACTAATAAAACGCAAAGTAGCATCTAGTTCTCGTATAGCCCCTTAAACAGTCTGCAGGTGCACTTCCAAAAAAGACAGGCGTTGCGAGAAATGAACAGATCAATTGCAATGTTATGTCATAAACGATGTCAGGCCGAATAGCTGAATAAGGGTATACAACGGTGCATACATGCGTCTAAGATTAGGGGTTTTGAAAATTAAATCAACATTTTAAATATGAGCTATCGCAGATCTGACTCTCCAACTGACGGTACAATATAATAGTTTAGTTATTGTTAGATAAATTTTAAGGCCGGTTTTAATAATTTTTATCACTGATATGTTAGCATTTTATTTTATTCGTGCATTCGCTTGGCGGGTCACATATAAAACGCGGTGGGTCACTTTGTGACCCGCGGGTCAGTGGTTCGCCATCCCTGATCTATAGCTTCCTCAGCATTGAGTTTTGAATCCAAAAAATCATCAACGTAGAAAGCATAATAAACAGCATTCACAGTGTTTTCACTAAAATCTTCTTTATTCTCTTCTGCAGTCCTTTTCAAGGCAAAATTGGCACCGCTTGGTGAGCAGATTGTACCAAAGAGAAATGAAGTCATTCTAAAGCAGACCACAGGTTGTGAGACATCGCCATTGCGCCACCAAAAAAATCTCAAAAAATCTCTATGAGGTTCGGAAACTTTCACTTGGTGAAACATTGCTCGGATGTCTCCTTGAATTGCAACGGATTTTTTTCGAAAACGAGCCAGAACACCAACCAAATTATTTGCAAGGTCTGGCCCCTGTAACAGAACGTCATTCAAACACAGTCCAGAAAATTTAGCTTAACAATCAAATACAACACGAAGGCTTTTCTTTTCTGGGTGGCGCACTCCGTGGTGGCTAAGATACCAAGTTCTACCATCATATTCCTCTGAATTGTTGACCTTCTCTGCATAGCCATTATCAATCCTATCTTTCACAAAACTTTTGTATTCATTGTAAAAATCCGGTTCTTTTAAAAATCGTCTTCTGAGATATTCTAATCTTTGTTCTGCATGACTTTTGTTTTTTTGGCAAAATCACATTAGGATTTTTTAAATGGAAGATCAATTTCATAATGTCCATCCTTTGTCAAATGAATAGACTTATTCACTCTTTCCATGAAAATTTCTTGATTAGGGGGAAATTCTGGTTTTTCATTTTGTATCGAATCGACCACTTCAGTGCACATTTTACAAAGTGGGTTCACATTAGATTTGATGAAAAAGGTGGAATTTGATTTTTCAATTTTCTTATTTTTGGGAGGACAGCCAATCATCCATCCAGCAGGGCATCTCACAGCAAAATATTTATCTGGCCCGTGTACAATTTCCAACGGCTTATGTAGAGCAAAATTATCTTTTCCTATCAGCAAGCCAACTTCTTGATTTAGCCTGGGAATTACCACATCCTTGAATTCATGAAACTGATCCACGTCGTTCTGTGTTGGAATATTCGAAACATCAATATCGATGCATTTATTAGAAAATGGTTGACCCAATGCAATAAAATTAGATTCATCAAAATGGGATAGCTCTATGTTGTCAAAAACAGAACTTTTCCTTTGTTCAGTCACATTTGAAATAGTACGAATATTTAAATTTGTTTCATGACCAGTGGCATTCAATCTTTGCATGAGTGCTTCACTTACGAACGAACATGTTGAGCCAGTATCGAAAAAGGCATTTGTTAACACTGTTTGTTAACACTGTTAACACACATTCTGTCCCTTCACACGTACCTTGACTGGAATTACGTTTAATAACACTCTTGCCTCACTAACAGAATTCACAAACGCACTAAATTTATTTTCTTCTCTGTTTTCATTAGTATTTTTTGATACAGTAGCATCATTAGCAGGCTTACGATGTTCAGATTGCTCACCCTTATTTACATTATCTTGGGTGTGCAAAAGCGTAGTATGCTTTCGCTTACAATTTGGAACCCTACATGGGTTCTCGCGTCTGCACTGCCTTGACCAGTGCCCTTTTTGTAGATAAGAAAAACACAATTTCAAATCCCTCACAAATCTTTCTCTGTTCGCATGTTTCATGTTCCTAAACTCTTGTCATTGATTCAGGAAAGGAGTGCCACTACATATAAAACATTTAGGAATTGGTTTGTCAGCAGCGGAGACAGTTGTAGTAAAATATGATTTGTGTTGCTTCATTGGTTTATTTGCAATTTCTCTGTTTTTTTGAACATTATTCGGTTCAGGATTAGGAAGGTTTGACAATTCCCTCGTTTTCTTACGCACATATGACACGAGATGTGCTAAGCTCAAGTCCTTTTCTTTCACATGGAGAGTATCATCCACCAAAGTTTGCCAACCTGGCCTCCAAACTGATGGCATTATCCACGATATTTTATCAATGATCATTAAAGACAGACCTTTATTTTTAATGCCCTTTAATGTATTTTCACATGCAATTAATTCAGCAGCAAACATTGTTAAAGCTTCCAGGTTCTAAGTTGCGGGCCTTCTATAATAGAATTAAAACATGCCGGTTCAATTTGCAATTTATGGCCATAAGTTTCTGCGAGCAATTTCAATGCCTCATCATAGCATGCTGGACCTTTATGTTGGCAACCTTTTACTAGAGCACGAGCAGTGCCTCTTGTGTATTGTAACAAGTAAACAAATCTTTGTTTTGCATTCTGCACTTTTGCAGCAATAACAGTATCAAAAATGTCAATAAAGTCATGGTATTCACCAGGATCACCAGAAAAAATGGAGGTTTTGTTGGAGGCAAATTTGCTTGCTGGGGCACATAAATCACTTGTGGTGTTGATTGTATAGTTCCCTGGCTTGGCTGGGGAACATTAATTTGAGTAGCTTCTTCAATAATAATTGGCATTGTCAGTCTATTGATGTCACCAGTGGCTGCTCGTGACATGTTATAAATTGGAATTGTACCTGTATTGGAACTAAAATTGCTAGCAAAATCAGTGCAAGAATAAGTCATGCAATTACTGGTAGGTGCATTAATACTGGTAGTAGAAGCAGCAAAATAACTTGAGCTGGAAGTACAGGTAGGGCATGCAGCATATGAACTCATACGAATAGGCTGTATTTGATTTGCAAGCACATTTACTGGATTCACAGCAGAATTTATTTGTTTAGGAATTGTTAACAACCATGCATTCATTCACACCAAGCACACCGGCTGTATGTGGACAACAAATTTCAAAACCAGGGGAGGATGAATAAACCGACATACCTTGATCCCCACCAATAGCAGGTACGGAATGCAAAACATCCCCCAACGAGTAACTTGGCTGATTTGCAGCTGACGTGAACATGGTCTGAGATGGCACAGTATATTGAATAATATTTCCAATTGTAGCAGCAGGGGAATTAGATCTTATTTCAGCTGGAGATACATTCTGTATCTCGTTACTATTTGACACATTTGTACAGGTGCCAAGTAACAGTTCACTTCCATTTGTATCAAAAATAGCAGGAAGGTCAAAAGGTAACCCCCTCTCTGCCATCGCTTCTTTAAAGTCAGCATCCAATTTTAACTGGGTGCACTGATCTGGGCACTGATCTGGGTGCACTGATCTGGGTGCACGTTTTAGTTCATTTAGTTCTATGTCTTTGCGTTTTTGGAAACTTTCCTTTCCGATTTGACGCTTTCTTCTTAGTTCTTCTTCTTCCATTCGAATCTTTTCCTCTTGAATTTGACGTTTTCGTTTGATTTCTTCGTTTTCTCGTATTAACTTTTCTTCTTCAATTTGACGTTTTCGTATAATTTCACTACCGGAACCAACATGAGATAATATTTTTTCAGCAGCGACAACTTCAGGGTCAACTGCAGGCTCTTTGATTTGTGATGACAGTGTTATTGGAACTTGGGACGGTTCTAAATCATCAGATTCTTGTTCTAGCACCATTTCTTGTGCATTTTGAAAACTTTGTACATCTTCTTCAGTATATTGAACTGGATTTGACTCAGCCATAATTTTATGTCCACTGGTAAAGGCCTTTAAATTTAACAATTGTCAATATTGTACCATATTTTCTATTTATGTTGTCGCAGAGCCTTGATTAAATCTTAATTGTGGAGCGCGGACTCTGCCCATATAGGGTGTACGGATGGCCAATACCAATACTCTCGACGACCAGGTTGCACCCCCAAAAAGACGCGTACTATCACTGTATCAGCATAAGATGTTTTATTTTCTTGTGATGTGTTGCAAACAGTGTAAAACAATACGAACAAACAACGTAGTACGAACAACAATACAGCAGTACGTCAGTACGAACAGATGCACAATACAAAGAAGTACGGTTTTCTGAAATAACATAAAAATAATAAATACACAAATAATAACAAGATCGGGGGAGTATCGTATCAGTAGGCCTATACTATAGTATTGTAAACAAACCTTTAATATCTTTATTACGTCACACAATCACCTAATGACCAAATATGGCATCACTAACGGTTATAATAAACAAATAAAC